AGAAAGACAAGTGCCAAATGATTTCCCTCATTTGTGGAGTATAACAACAAAGCAAAACTGAAGGAACAAAACAGCAGCAGACTCACAGACTCCAAGAAGGGACTAGTGGTTACCAAAGGGGAGGGGTGTGAGAGGGTGGCTGGGGAGAGAGGGAGAAGGGGATTGAGGGGTATTATGTTTAGTACACATGGTGTGGGGGGTCATGGGGAAGACAGTGTAGCACAGAGAAGGCAAACAGTGAATCTGTGGCATGTTACTACACTGATGGACAGTGACTGCAATGGGTTATGGGTGGAGAGTTGATAATATGGGTAAATGTAGTAACCACATTGTTTTTTCATGTGAAACCTTCATAAGAGTGTATATCAATAATACCTTAATAAAAAAAAGAAAAAAAAGAACTTAATAGATAAGTTTAATGGATTAGGCACAGCTGAGTAAAAAGAAAAAATAAGATAAAAGAAAAACTAAGCAGAATAAAGCAAAGAAACTGAAAATGCAGACAGGAAGCTAAGAGGCTTAAAGGATATAAAGAGAAGGTCCAATATATATGTTTAATTGGAGTACCAAGAGGAAAGAAAAAAGATAAGGGAGAAAAGATATTTAAAGAAACAAAAACAAATCAATGATCACAAAAGCACAGTAACTGAATTCAAATAAACTAATATAACAGACAAAATAAGCAGCTTTCAATAACTTTGGTTACTGAGAAACAACTGAATAATACATACGCTTTTCAAATACACATAGAATATCTTCCAAAACCGACCATATAGCACAAAGCAAGTTTCAATAAATTTCAAACGACTGGAATCATATTGTGTATGTGCTCTGACAACAATATCATTTATGCCAAAAATCAGTAACAAGGTAATAAGAAAATGTTTAGAAATTAAGACATACTTTTCTAATCAACCCAATGAGTCAAAGAAAAAAAAAATCCACAAAAGTTAGAAGATATTTTGAACTGAATGATAATGAAAATATTTATCAAAACTTGGGAGATACGCACATGCACACACACACACACACAAAGAGGGAAACTACAGCCTGACATGCATATGTTAGAAAAAAGAGGATGAAAGGTAATGAAGAGAAAATTAAAACAAACCCAACAGTAGAGGGGAAACAGATTAATGAAATAGAAAACAGGCATACAAGAGACAGCAACAAAGCTAAACTTTAATTCTTTACAGATTATTAAAATTGATCAGCCACTGGGAGAGTGACCAAGAAAAAGTAGGGAAGAAATCTAGTAAAAGTACAGATAACCAATATAAAGAATGAAAAAAGGGTCATCACTACACATCCTACAAACGAGACTATTATGTCAATCAATTTGAAAATTTAGAAGAAATGGACAAATACCAAGAAAAATGCAATATCTTTCATTAGAACTGACAAAATGGGATATAGTCATAAAAGAGAAATCTATGAAAATGAATTAACTATAGCTACATGCAACTGGGAAGCACCTCAAAAACATTCATCTAATGAAACAAGACATAGATAAATACATACAATATGATTTTGTTTTTATCAAGTTCAAAAGTGGGTAAAACTAAGCTATGGTGTTTATAAACACATAGGTGGTATAAAGAAAACCAAGGGAACAATTATCATACTAGTCCTGATCATAATTACTTCCCAGAGATATAAGGCATTTTGATCAGAGTACATGGGATGTTCGCCATGTTCAATAGTCTGCCTTGGGTGGTGGTTAAATGGGTATTTGCTTTATAGACAGTCTTTAAATTGTGTTGTTCATGTTTTTATTTTTCTTTGTGCAATTTTTAAAGCTTTTTAAAAATGTAAGCTAACACTACTAGATTAAAAACAACAATAATCTATAAGGAACAGTTTCCATGTGACTTACTTCTTCATGAGACTGAAGCTAGTCTTCCTTTTCTTGCCTTCTCTTCCTGACAGGTTGCTATTAACCCACCTGCTCAATCCAGCAGACAGATTTTGGATATTATTTTACCTGACCTCTTCACAGACCACTGCCTTGAATCACAGGATTGACACTACCAATTACTATTGAAAATCTTTCCTTTCTCAAAAAAAAAAAAGAAAATCTTTCCTTTCTCAATAGGCCTCTTCCTGGATTCCTCCTAACTGGCAATTTCTCTTCAGCCTCTTTCACAGACTCCTCTTCCTCTGCCTTTCCCTTATATCAGGGGATCTCCCACTTTAAGGCACATTAAAAATCACTTGAGGAAACAGTTCAAAAGTGTTGATTCCCAGGTCCAACAGATCTTTTAATTCACTAGCCTTGAGTGAGTCCTGGGAACCTGCATTTTTGAATAAGCAGCCCAGGTAATTCTGATAGAGGTGGAACTCAGGACATACTTTGAGAGAAACTACATTCAATGTTGGTATCTCCCAGCATTGTGGACTTGGCCCTATTATTTTTCACTCTAAACCTGAGGTTCTTAATCTTGGGCCACAGAAGATCTGTGAAACACCGCTTCCCTCCCCTAAGTGTACACATACCTTATACATATGTGGCATATATGCATTTTCCTGGAGAGAAAGAACCATAGCTCTCATTATCTTCTTACATTTGTAAAAAAGTCAAATATCACTCCTCTACTCACTGTTCCTACCCGATCTCACCCACATCCCCAGACTGAACCATGACTCATATCTCCATGACTTCCAATTCTGTATCACTGACCCATAATTCTCTCCAAACTCTCATATCCAACCGTCTACTACACATTTGCCTTAGGATGCTCCACAAGTACCTTCAACTCAACTGATACAAAATTAAACGCATCAACTGCCCCCCAGACTCAATGTGCTCCTACCCTATTCACTCCACCAATCACTCAGTCTATCTGTCATCTGGCAAATCTGAGTAATGCTGGACTCCTTCCTCTTCACACTGTCCATATCCCTCCCCCTCACTCCTCCTCTCCCTCCCTCCTACACTGCCCTAACTTAGGCCTTCACCAGTTCTCAGCTGCAGCAACTTGCTATTTTATCTCCCTGCCTCATGCACCACCTTATGATTTGTTTCCAGCCCCCTGCAGTCAAAATCCAGAGACACTCTTGCCAACCGAGGACCCAACAATGGCTTGGTGGGAGCCCTCCCAGGGGCCTGGAAAGAGCCAAACTTATCCACTCACCTGGTAACAGGCTCACAACCTGCAGACCCAACTGCAGACACTGAAGCAAAGCCTTGTCCCAGCGCTGGACCTTCTGGACCATGGTCCTGCAAACGCGCCAATCTTCCCAGAGACTAGACAGATTCCAGCCACATCCTCTCCTTCCCTACTACACTACCCTAATTTAGACCTTCAGTTCTCAGCTGCGTTATCTTCCTAAGGGATCTCCCTGCCTCATCTCACTACCTCCAATCCATCCAACACACAGATCTCGTTTAACACTGTCTACCAGCTCATCGCCTTCAGGGTCAGATGGAAACAACACTGATGCACAACGCCCGTCGTAATCTGACGTCTGCCGGCCTGCACTGTATAGGCTCTACCGTCCCCGATTACTGATTCCCCAAAAGGTTCCCTCTTCCGCCTTCATGATTTGGCATGCTCTCTACCGCCCGAGGGTCTTTTAACAGGGTCTGCAGCATTCTCCGTGGCACCGCAGTGTCTGCCCAGAAAGCCCTAACGCTTGTTGAAAGACAGAATGGCTGGCGGGCCGACTGAGTGTCTGAGTGAAGGGGGACCGCGAGAGTGCCCACGAAGCAGGGAAGCTTTTGTCGGTCGCCCTGACGCCCCTCACCAGCTGCCGGTCTGCCACCGTTCGGTCGGGCAGGAGGCTGTACACCTGGCTCCTCAGAGCGATGGGCGGCAGCGCGTCCTCAAACAGGCCTCGCGGGAACAGCTGCACCAGCTCCGCGACTGCAGCGCGCGCCGACCCTGGGCAGAGAGACCGGGACACTGAGACAGGAACCGGGGCGGAGTACGACTGCGGGGCTGCCGTTCTCCCAACAAAGTTACCGGGGCCAAGGCGGCTCCAGGCTGGGGTCTTTGCCCCATCCCAGGGTTGCCATGGTTACCTGACTCGCCCCTTACAGGAACTGCCTCTATAGGTACTTGTTCCCTCCGCTTCTTCAGTCCAAAGGTCTCTGGGACCAGACGATGCCTCTTCCGGCTCATATCCCAAGACTTTCTGGGACCGGGGAAGGGGTAGGTGTTGAGGGACGAGAACCCCAAAAACAGAGTCTTCCGGCGCAGAGCAGTGACGTTAGGCTCCGGGTGTCCCTCCTTGGAGAACAGTGGAAGTGGGATGACGTGTGACGGAAGAAGCGTCAACTAGTCATCTCTGGCGCCCCTGCTGGGAAGGGCGGTGCCAATGCCGATACCGGCCACACCTCCTCAGGCCGAGGCCTTACTCGGCTGCTGAATGGCTTCCTCCGCGAGCTTTGGGGACCGTGCGGGATGCTGTGCGAACAGCAACTTCTGGGGTAAAGTGCACCTCCCACTGGCGCGCCACTAGGGCTTTGCCCGCCACTGTCGCTGAATGCGTCACTGAGGGCGGAAAACCAGCTTTGCATACCTTTTCGACTTCTGACCAACCGTCCTTGGCATATTAGCCCTAAGAAGGTGGAAGTCGAGGTTGGCGGGCTTTGAGGTAACCAAATCCATGACCTGAGCCCAAATCCTTACTAACTTCACTGTGACTGTTGGATAGGTCAGAGAAGGTGGGCTGTGCACCTGGCCTTGGCTCTGTTTGAGGGTCTAGAGCTTTCACGTTTCAAGACGAGAGCCTGACACTCAAGAAGCTCACCTAGTTCTGACCTGAAGTGTCCCTTCTCCAGGCCTCTGTAAAAGAAGTTCCCCGAGTAAGGCTGGGGTCACTGATGGGAGGAGCAAGCACGTCGGACACTGATGACGTGCCAAAGTCCCCGGCTGTTGCCCCCTCCCAACCTGAAAAATGTGCCTTGGGCTAGCCAATCCTCACGCCGCTGTAAATCTAAGCCCTGCCTCCCACTACCTTCTTTAAAAACTCGCTGCCTGTCTACTTACGTGCGAATTCCCCAGCTTCCATTTCTGTAGACTGGGGAAATCTCGCCCTGGTATTTGCATTCAAATAAACTACCTGGCCCTTTGTTGCCTCTCTTCGCCTGCTTATTTCTGCTAGAATTTATCTTACACCTCGCAATCTCAGGACCTCATGGAGCCCAGAGGAACTACCGAGGGAGGCACAGGGAAGACTGAAGTAGCTGAGCCTTGGAACAAACTTCCCTGCCCAGCACCCTCACTATCCACAAACCCTGCCCTCTACTCTGGGCCCTTTCCTTTCTACCAACGCCCTTCGGAACTGGGCTGCTTCTCCCTGGATGCACAACGCCAGTACCATGGAGATGCTCGAGCCTTGCGCTACTACAGCCCACCCCTAACCAATGGTCAAGGCCCCAACTTTGACCTCAGAGATGGATACCCTGATCGATACCAGCCCCGAGATGAGGAGGTCCGAGAGGGACTGGACCACCTGCTACACTGGCTTCTGGAGCACCGCGGCCAACTGGAAGGGTGAGCAAAGCACACCCACAAGTAGATCTAGAACCTGCACCTACCCTATAAAATTAGGAAAGCAAAGCTGGAGTGAGTTCAGTCCTTAGAAGGAACCTAGACTATTCTTTGTGGGAGTCATCTGAGCTAATGCTTGTGTCAGACCTTCATCCTATAACTCCTCCCCTCTCAGGGATCCAGGCTGGCTGGCAGGGGCTATCGTGACATGGCGGGGGCACCTGACAAAACTGCTGACGATGCCATATGAGCGGCAGGATGGCTGGCAGCTGGCGGCCTCCCGGTTCCAGGGGACGTTGTACCTGAGTGAGGTAGAAACACCAGCTGCTCGGGCTCAGAGGCTTGCTCGGCCACCCCTCCTCCGGGAGCTTATGTACATGGGATACAAGTTTGAGCAATACATGTGTGCAGGTGAGAGTTGCCCCTACTCTGTAGCCTCCTTCCCCTTCCCTAGAGATTTGAGAGCCGCCACCCTGCTGCTGCTTCTCTTCTTGTGCAGACAAACCCGGAGGCTCCCCAGACCCCTCTGGGGAAGTTAACACCAATGTGGCCTTCTGCTCTGTGCTACGCAGCCGTCTGGGAAACCAACCTCTGCTCTTCTCAGGGGAGGTAGACTGCATAGACCCCCGGGCACCATCCACACAGCCCCCCACCTGCTATGTGGAGCTCAAGACCTCCAAGGAGATGCACAGCCCAGGCCAGTGGAGGAGCTTCTACAGGTTCAGGATGGGAGTGGGCAGGGCAAGGCCTAGAATCAACAGCTGAGAAAGGGACTTGGGGAAGAGGATAAGGCAGGAGGGTGGAGGATGTTGTTGCACTGACCCCGTGTCTTTCTTGACAGACACAAACTTCTGAAATGGTGGGCTCAGTCATTCCTTTTGGGGGTCCCAAATGTTGTTGCTGGCTTCCGTAACCCAGAGGGTTTCGCCTGTTCCCTCAAGACCTTTCCTACCATGGAGATGTTTGAACACATCAGGGTAAGGCAACAGCATCACACCTCCCTCCTATACCCCCAATGCCAAGACCGCAGATCCAGTACCCAGGGTTGCAGTCCACCTGCCCCTTCTCCCACCTCCCTCACCATCACTGCCAGTCTTCTGCCTCCTCCTTGGCCCTCTCCAGAATGACCGTAACAGCTGGAATCCCTCTGTGTGTATGAACTTCTGTGCTGCCTTCCTTAGCTTTGCCCAGAACACAGTTGTCCAGGATGACTCCAGGTAAGGCATTCAGCTCTGCCCCTCCTCCTGGGCCCCATAAGCTCAGCCTCCAGCCCTCAACTCATGATTCCATCTGCCTCCCAGACTCATCTACCTCTTCTCCTGGGAGCCTGGCAGCCCAGTCACGGTATCTGAACATCGAGATGCACCCTATACTTTCCTGCCCATGTGGTACGTGGAAGCCATGACCTAGGACTTCCCATCACCCTCTAAGACACCCTCCAAGGACTGATGCTTCAGAGGTGCAGGCCTGTCTCTGTGTGCACAGATAAAAGCATATTTCTAGGTGTTTCTTTCTACTGTCTTTTGAGCTGAGTCATCCCTGCCCACCTCAAGAACACACATGTGGTTTGTTTTATTACATCTTTACACAGGGTTCATTCACTGAGTGTATAGGCTGGCCGCAAAGACAATGTCCCTCCGTAACAGGGTAGCCGCCGTCTCCATCTTAGCACCTAGCACAGGCTCACCTACCAGGCGGGCTGCCCCCCGCAGGGAGCGACACATCTCAGCCAGGCGCTGGATGCAGCGGACCACTAGGCCCTCAGGGGTCCCTGAGAGTCCTGCCAACTCGGAGAAGGGCTGTCGGGGAAGCAGGGTGAGGACTGAACATGGTAGGCCTGGGCAGCCTCTCCTCACCCAGTCTTCCACAAACCCCAAGGCCCAATTACTCACCATGCCTCGGGCCCATTCATACACGACCTCAACCAGCCCAAAATTCAGCTCCCCCACAAATTCCTCCACTGTTTGATTTAGGCCACAGGCCACCTGGACCTCCCCAATTCTTGTGGCCACAGCCCGGATGCGTTCCACTCCCTGTAGAGGGGAAAACAAAGGCTAAGACCTGCCTCCCTGCTGTAGGATGGGAGGCCCAGATCAGGCAGCCACGGTTCCAGTTCTTACCGACACTTACAGGCCTGGAAGGGGTCACTGAGGAACACATGGGGCTGAGAATTGGGAATGCTGCAGCCAAGAGAGGGGGTGGATGTCCTGTACCTGTTTGAGGGTGCTCGGAAGCTGCTCCCCAGGGTCCCCGGAGCTCTGGCAGACGAGGCCAGAGAGCAGAGCCGCAATCTCCTCAGGCCGAAGGGTACTCAGAGCGTTGTCGAACATGAGCTCAGTGAGAAGGAGCTCATGGCTGCTCATGGCACAAGCCACCCGCCCTGCCAACTTCACAGTGCCCGCCTCATCTACATAACCCAGGGATCGGAGCACCTGGAGAAGGATGATGGGTGTCAGGAGCCTGCTGCCTCCCCCTCACAGCAGCCCCCCTCCACCCCACCCTCCCACCTCTACTCGCTGGTGGTACTCTGGGAGCAGCAGCAGCGACTGATCTGACAGCAGGAAGTGCAGCCGCTCCATCTCCTTCTGTATGTGCATCCACTCCCGCAGCTTCTGGTACTGCAAAGAGCCGCAGGCAAGAGGAGTGCGTTAGCCTGCCCCTCACCCTTTGGCAGGGGGACACTAAGGACGAGTGCTGTGATGGCAGCAGTCTGTCTACACGGAACCAGAGAGGAAAAGCCCCCTACCAGCTGGGAAGCTGACATCGAGGGCCCTACCTGGGCAGGGAAACGGGGACTGTGCACACATTGAACACCCCGGATCAGCTCCTCCAGCTTTCGGACCCGGAGCCCTGCCTCAACCACAGACACATCCTTGAGCTGCAGGTCATTGACAGGGTCGAGGGTCGGGGGTCCCGCTGGGTAGGCCTGAGCTAGGCGCAGCAGCTCCTGGACAGCAGAGGTCACGGCCACAGAGGGCGGATCCTTCCTAAGAAAGGAGCAGGTTCTGAGACCTGAGGCAGAATCTTCCCTTCCGAAGGAGGCCCCTCAGGCCTGGGGAGCTTCCTGAACACACCTCCCTACTGTCCCCCATTACATAATCCCTCCCCAGGAAAGGGGCCTTGCCATTAACTCTAACTTGAATTTCGGTTGCTGCCTCTTGCTGAAGTCCTCCAGGATCTTCTCCCCGTTCACCCGGAGCACTTTGGTGGTGATGGCAGCCACGTCTCCTGGCTGGAGCTTGGCCACAGTGTGGTCACAGGGCCCTGTGAAACAGAGCAAGGTAAGACTTCACCAGGGCCCCAGGCATCCCACCTGCACTGTTGTCAGGAACCAGGACATCTGCCCCACTCTCACCTTCAGGCAGGAGCAGCTTGAATCCCACAAGGTCATCTGGATAGGGCACATGTGGGGTAGCTGGCCCCCTCTCCTGTGGGTGCTCAGACACAGGCTTATCACACAAAATCAGGGTTGTAAATACTCTACTGGTGGAGTTTGAGGAGACCTAGGGGAGGTGGGGAGGCCAAGCCAGAGTGATATGAGGAGTGGACCTCGAAAGGTAGATCCTACCCTCAGGCTGCTATCATGGAGCAACTATGCAGAGCCCACCAGTAAGGACTGGCAGCCATGTAAAGCAATCAGAGCAGACTTCCAGGAGTCAGGGGAACGAGGAACATGAAGTGGTGGTGATGGGAAGGGAAATAGGGCAAGAAGGAAAAGTGAGAACACTGGTGACTACAACCTGCCCCCAGCCACATGGGGAAGGTGGGGATGGGGCTCACTCCTCCCTCCCAACCTCTGGGTCCATATTCCCACTGCCCTCACCTGCAGGATCACACCCAATGCGCTGTGATGCTCCTGATTCTTCACAACCACCACCCTTCCCACCGAGAGAGATTTCAGCCCATTCACAGATTCTATGATGCATCGCTAAAGAGTGGGGACATGCACAAAGGGCATAAAGAAGGAAGCATCACAGAGACACTGAACTAGGTTCAGGAGCACCCTGAGTCTCACATGCCCTTCCTCCATCATCCCCCAACACTCACCCACCTGGACCAAGTTCTGGGTTTCCATCAGTTCCTCCCCCCAGCTGTAATATTCAGGCAAGTCGACCAGTTGGCCAGTTGTGTCAGGTTCCTCCAAGGCCCCCAGCCTTTTGTTCAGTTCAACTAGAGCCTGTTCGTGGGCCTAGGCAGAAGTAGAGGGTGTGTGTGTGTGTAAAACAACAGTCCGCAGGCCCAATATGCCACACCCTCCACCTTTACCCTGCTAGCCTCTAGATGCCCACTTCTTCCTGGGCTGGCTTCCCCTACCAACATCCTGCCCAGTTTACTGTCCATCCCGTCCTCCTCACCTTACTGTCCTTGCGGGATGGAAACTCAGAGAAGCTTCTCTTCATCATGTCCTCCACCCTGAGGGCGTCCACCCGCAGCAGGTTAAGGATCATGGTGTATGTGAGGCGGAACTGGGACTGCAGCTGGGACGGCTTCCCCTGGGCCATGTCAGAGATGCCAGTGAGATTGGGGAGGCCTGCTACACTCCAGCCAGCCCTCCAGGGACTGACCCTGCTCCTTGCAGATCAAGTCCCAGCTTGCAACCAGGGAACCCCAGACAAATGCTTGCTCACCTCCTCAGCAAAATAAGGGAGCAAAACTAGGTAAATAGATTCTGAAAGGTCCTATCTAGCTCCATCATCAGTGGGAAAAGACTAGAGGAGGTAAGATCCAATCTCATCCTGCCATTTGTTCACTCCACCTTGGTTTCTCCCAGACAAAAGTAAAAAAAGCAGAAAGGAGAGGGGAAGAGGGCTGGGAGAGAGAGGATCCAGCAGGCAGCTCAAGCTGGGGTCCTCCCAGCCTGGTCCCATGCTGTCCCAGCTCACCAACATCATGCGGTGCAGGTCCGCCATCTCAGGCACGCGGCCCTTACAAAGCAGGATGACAGTGCCTGTGGGGTCCAGGCCCCTCCGTCCTGCCCGGCCTGCCATCTGCACATACTCCCCAGGGAGCAGGTCTCGGAAGGTGGAGCCATCATGCTTGCGCATGGAGTCAAACACCACTGTCCGGGCTGGCATGTTTACACCCATGGCAAAGGTCTCTGTGGCAAACAAGACCTAGGGTGGAGGGAAGAGAGCATCAGCAAAAGGCCTACACACACATACCCAGCCCTGGCCAGGCACACCTTTGTAGCCAAGGCTAAAGAGGCAGCTGGCACAATCCCAGATGATTAACTCGCAGGACCTCATTTAACTCTCAAGGCAAATCTACAGAGTGCGCACTATCATTTTCTGCATCGTATTCATTTAGCTACCCATTTCCTTCCTTGTACCCCCATATCTCACTCCCGTCCACCCAATCATCCCAATGTATTTAATGAGTATCTTTTTGTGTGAACACTTTCTTGCAGATCTTGTTTGGTGTGCATACAATTTACAATTCCCATTAAAGCAGGTATATATCTCATTCTGTTTTCTTCTTTTCCTCCACATCATGTTTTCAGCATACATCCATGTTCCTCTGGTTATATATAATCCATTGCTTCCAGCTGCTGCAAAACACTGTGGAGGGCATCCCCTCCAGTTACCTATCTGCTGTCCCAAGGAGGAGCACCTTGGTACAACCATTACCCTGCCACAAGGTTACAGCCAACAAAGGGAGAGCAGACCCCCACACACCAGGGTAAGAATTGCTTTGCCATATATACACTGGAATAGAATTTAGGGTCAAAGAGTTGTACTTATTTTTGCCTCAAGAGTGCCAGGGTGCCTTCCAGACTGCCTACACCTGTATGAGGGGTTCCATAATTCTATAGACTCCTATGTCTTTGCAACACTTAATATTAGCCAATTTCCTAAATTTTACCAGGCTGATAGATGTAAAGTTGTGTTTTGTGACTATTTCAATTTGCATTTTTCTGGTGACTAATAACTTTTCATATGCTTACTAGCTTTTTGGGATTCCCTTCTGAATACTACCTGTTTGTATCTTCTGCATCCCCATTTTAAGATAGGAAATCTAAAGTTCAGGAAAGTTATTTTACCGAAGGTCATATAGTAAATGGTGGAGCTGGGATTTATACCCAGGGTGTCTGGATCCAGAGCCCAAGTTCTTCATCCCTGGCCCTCCACCCTCAGGGAAGTCCCTAAGGTAGCAATGAATGTCCCAGGGAATCCCTCTCCCACCACTGTGCATGCCTTGACCAGGCCACGGCTGAAGAGCATCTCCACAATCTCCTTGAGGATGGGCAGAATGCCACTGTGGTGCACACCCAGGCCACGGTGCAGGAGCTCCGACATGTGCAAGACCTGGGGGGACCGAGGCTGTGGTCAGGGATGGGGTGGTGGAGCACCCTGTCCCCACTGGTCTCCAAGGCACCCCTCCACACCTGGGGTAGCTGGCGATCAGAGCCGCGGAGGCGAGCAAGGCAGCGCTGCAGGAAGAGGTGAATCTCACTCTTCTCTGAACTTGTGGTAAGGTCAAGGGAGGTGAGGCCCGAGGCCTGCTCATCACAACGGCCCCGGGAGAAGGTGAACACCACCACGGGTAGCTGTGCACGAGTACGGAGGGAGGCCAGGAGGGACAGGTACACACCTCGATCCTGGGGAGGGAGGTGGAAAGGTTGGAGTTTGTGTTCCTGAACCAGGGTGTGCCAAAGCACAGGGTGATGAATGACTGTCAAATCGGGCAGTTCTCCAAGCTCAGTCTAAACCCCTGGGGGATGAGGGAAGAAAGGACAGGGGAGAAACAGATGATGGAAGTTCTCACCTGTGCAGGTCCCCCCTGGTGTGTGGGCTGCTTGGCCCCAAAGGTCTGGGCGTGTTTGCTCATCCGCTCCTTCTTGGCCTCCACAGCTGCATAGTACCTGGGGCATGGGAGGGGTGGCGATCACAGTGACATCCAATGGGCCCAGCCATGGCTCTTCCCCAGTTCAGGCTTACCCCTTTGTGTGGAAGGCACCTCGGGAGTCTAGCAACAGGAAGAGCTCCCCCTGGGTCTTGGGGCTGTTCCCCGTGAAGAGATAATGCTCCAGGGGGACAGGGCGGGTGACAGTGCTAATCACGTAGATTTGGCGATGCTTCAGTCGCCTGAGCGGGGAGAGGACACCAGGTCAGGGGTGGGAGTGCAGGAAGGAGCCCTAGTCCCTACCACTTTCCCCACTCTGGCTTCACCCAGACTCTTCTGGGTGCCAAACTGCACAGCTGCCCCATCATCCCATCCCTCAACAAGCAGAGTGATCTGGGCCCAGGTGGGATCCCTCAGCTGCCCAAGTCAGACGTATTCCCCCAAGGCCTGACTGCTGTCTTTGCTGTGGTAACCTTCCCTCCCACCCCCACCCCAGGACATGTCTCACCCGATCCAGTCAGCAAACTCAAGGGCATTGGGGACCGTAGCACTCAGAAGGATGATGGAGACATGGTCAGGGAGCATGATGAGCACCTCCTCCCACACGACCCCACGCTGGGCACAGAGAGGGAAGACAAAGTCACCCACAGCTCAGAGGTGGCTGCTCCTCTGCCCCTAGGGAAGTGGCACATGGGTCCACTTGGGGGCAAAGAAGGCAGTAAAGTCTACAGGGTGTGCAGGAGAGGAGAGCTGCTGAACTAGTCCCACAGGAGATGACTGTCAGGATCTGAGGACCCATCACCCTTACCTCTGCATCATTGATGTAATGAACCTCATCAAAAATGACCCACTCCAGGTCCCGGATGACATCTGAGCCACTGTAGAGCATGGAGCTGGGGAGAAGAGGCCAAAGCCTGACTCCCCAGGGGCTCCTGTCTCTACCGTCTCCTCCACCAGCATGCTCTCCAGAGCAGCCTCACCTTCCTGATCAAAAACCCACCCGACATTCAGGGCCCATCTCTCACCGAAGGATCTCAGTTGTCATAATGAGGCAGGAGGCTTCTGGATGCAACTGCACATCCCCTGTGAGCAATCCCACATCCCCAAATGTGTTTCGGAAATCTCGGAACTTCTGATTGCTCAGAGCCTTGATGGGCGAGGTGTAAATGGTGCTGGGAAGAGGGCATGAAGTCAGCCAATCCCTTCGCAGACTCACAATCAGCCCCTTCTCTCCCTCCCTGAGCCCTTCAGAAGCTCGCTCCAGAGCTCAGGTGCCCCCTTCTTCACCCAAATTGCCCCCACATTCTCCTTCATGATATGACCCCACAAAAACTCTGCCCCCAACCCCTTTCTAAATTAACACAAGTCATTCATCTAACCTCTCTCCTCCCCACAGCTTCCCATTTCTCCCTGGGCCTCTGTCTCAGTTTCTCCCCAGAACCTCTCATCTAAAAAAATGAGGTAGGTGGAAAAAAAATGACGCCTGGCAAGGACAAGGGAGAAAACAACCAGCTGGTGAAGTGGAATTTGGGGAGGGGCCCTGTACCGCGTCATATGTTTCTGGGCAAGGGCAATGGCATATTCAGCCACAACTGTTTTGCCCGCAGACGTGTGAGCTGCAACGAAGACTGAGTCGTGCCGTTCCAAGTGCAGGATGGCCTGTTTCTGAAACACATCTGGCTCAAAGGCCCACTGTAGGAGAGGGAAATGGATAGCAGCTGAAGAAGGGAGAGGGGCCTTCGTACCTCTGGCTCCTGGGACATGCAGGACAGTGGGGAGAAGGCCAGAGTGAGGCAAGGCTGGGCCTGAGGTCCAAGACTGGCCTGGGAGGCACCTGGCCTCTGGTGGGAAAGGAGACAAGGGAGTGGGCTGGGAGGCGGTGGAGGAGCATGTAAGGATTGGGCCACACTACCTGGAAGGCTGGCTGGGGAATGAGGCGATAGAAATCACCAACAGGGGAGGTGACATCCACAGAAATGGCCCACCGCTCCTGAGGTGGGGTTTTGGGAGGCTCGGAGGGGGATACAGCTGTGGATGCTTCCTGAAAAGCCAGGGATAGAGGTGATAAAGATATAACAAGAGAGCTCTTTGTTACCAGCTCTGCAAAAGATGCTCCAGCCTTCACCCTAGACCCAACCAAGCCAACCCACCCTCCCTTCTTTCCTGCCTTGACTGCCTAGAACCACCAACCTTCAACACTAGGTCCTCCAAGCTGCTTGCTCGGGCCAGGGGAGCACTGCAGGGAGAGGCTGAAACAGTGTCCCCTTTGGGGCTACATGGCTGTTCCACTGCCTCACTCTCATCCTCATAGTCCCCACCCAAATCCAGGGGCTCCAGCAAATGGCTGAGGCTGAGCAACCCCAAGGCTGGAGCTGGGCGATCTGCAGAGCAAGGTGAAAAAGGAGACCTGGTCATGCCCAACTCTGAACTATAGGAGAAAGGTATCATTTCTACACCCCCAACTCAAAACCAAAACTCACCCTTTGGTGCAAAATCTACACCTTTCTTAAAACCAGGTGGGACAGTAAGAAGATCTGAAGGATAGAGACAAAGAGAACCAGGGCTACTGCACACTGTTGAGTAAATCACATGTTACACAAACCTAAAGGACACAGACAAGTTGTGCATGGCGATATTTGTGACACTTTTAAACAGACAACAGCAAAGGTTGTTACAGAAGGAATACCTTTTCCTAATTTTCTCAAAGGCATGGAAGGGCTAGCAGCAGCCCACTGACAGGCCTGGGCCCCTCTTCCTCGAGGCCCAAACTCAGAGGCCCTCCCAATGGTCAATCCTGGCACCACCTCACCTTTCTCAAAGTCTATCTCCTCCTCAGCCTCCTCCCGAGTGCTCAGATCTGTTATAGTGGGCTCATCCATTCCACCTGGGGAGAGGATGGACAAACAGGGATTCATGGAGTAATAGGGGATGGGTGGGGGACCCTTCCCTGGGGACTTATGGCTCCCTCTCCTACCATCCCATTTCCACAAGTCACCTGGCCAGAAAGGGTACTGTGTTGGATTCCCCCACAGGGACTGGGAGATAGGCCCCAGGGGCCGACGAAGAGACAAGGAGGTTGTGGCAGACAGGTTTGTATTCTCCAACAGGACCTGAGACAGGATCAGAGCCGCAGTGAGGTTGAGCTTGCCTCTGAACCCCTTTTTCTCCAACTCCCCAACACTGCTTCTCATGATGCCTGACCTCTTACCTCCTTATAACCAAGTATTTGACCTGTAGTTGGGTGTCTTTGGGCCTGTAGGTCGGAGGGGACTGGGGCACCCAATGTGTTCAGGAGAGCCCAGGGATCCATCTTCCTCTGCCATTTTCTACAGAGAAGGTAAATAAATTTCAGGTATTTCTCCTCTCTCCCAACTTCCTTCTAGGACCCATCTCCCCAGTCTAGGCCCCTCCAGGCCCCTCACCGGGCTGAGTGTTCCACACCATGCAGAGGTAGCCAGGCTGGAGATGACAGAAACAACTGCTCTGCTTCTTTCTGCAAATCTGGGGCACAGGGCGGGAGGCCATGGGGAAGCTGGAACAAGGGCAAGATGAGAGGCATCAGATAAGGGAAGGGAGTAAGAAACAGATACACAAGGTGATGGGATTCATGTTTAGGTCAGAAATGAAAGAGGTCCTGGACAAACTAGACCATCCAGCTGAAGTGATATTCTCCAAAAATCACCCTAATTTATAGGACAAACTACCTCTACTGATTACCTGGGTCACCAGCCATTGATACACTACAATTCAATACAAACACAAGTTCAGGATCTCTGGGGCTGAACCCAAGAACCTGTATTTTTAAAAAGCTCCCCTACTCTTCATGAGCTACACATAAATTTGAGTATCACTAGCTGGAAAAGGGATCCCAGACTTAATGAAGAGTAAGGGACTCAAAGGCTAGCATCTCAGCCACCAACAGGTGCCCTGGTGCTTTGGAATCAAGGAATCCAAGGAGAAAAGACGCATTTGAAAGAGCAATCCTCAGAGCTGAGGAATCCTCCAGATGTCCCTGCTCCATCCTCACAGGGGCCCTGACGCACAGAAGGTCCATTGGGCCAGTTCAGCCCGGATAACAGGTGTCCAGAGACAGGAGAACGAGGTCATGCTAGGTCCTAGCATGAGGAGGATGGAAGTTTTAAGATCAGTAAGGGTCAACGGGTCACTCACGGTGCTCTCTGGAGCCCCAGGCACATTCAGCAGCTCCCAGCGCCCTGTACATCCCAGCTCCAGGGCCCGAAGAGGCAGGTCCAGAGGATCAGGGGGAAGTAGCACTATGGGGAAAAGGACAGAAGTAAGGCGTCAAGGGTCATTCCTAGACTATTCCTTCGTTCCACCCGCTCTCCCCTCACCAAGCCGCTCCGTTTCCATCATCCTGAAGCCACCGCCGCTGCCGGACAGTCCGGAAGTGGAGCGAGGAGCCGTGCGGTAAGCCCCGCCCCGGAACGGGCGGAAGTGGAAGCGATTTCCGGCACAGCCCGCCGGAGGAGTGAATGGGAGCTACGATAGGGCTGACCTGAGAGGGTGGAAGGCCGGGCGGAAGTGTCTGCGGCTCGGGCCGCCTTGGTTACTGCGTTCTGCGCCCCTCGTACGTCATCGCTCTGAGCCTGATACCCGCTGTCCGCACGGGCGCCGCCCGAGACCGTGGGACCTCCCGGTTGCCGCCCCCTCAGGTAAGGTCTTCTTCTACCTTTCGCCCCTTTTTTCCGAGCTCCTCCTCACTTCTAACCCCTTATCGTTGCTCTGAGAGCGCTAAGCGGGTTCCACTTCCTCCTCAGCCGTTCAGACCCCGTGGTTGCCATACTAACCCCAGCGGGGATAGGGGGGTCTGGTGCCGTGGTCTTGGTGACTGGGTGTTTCTTCCTTCCCGGACTACGTGGTACCCCCAGGCGCTGGTGTCCGTGATTACTCGAGAGAAGAGGGAGTACTGGTTGATGCGAGTGGGGTCTTGGAAGGCAGCCTGGTTTAAGCAAGGGGTAGGGAGAGGAAAAGGCAAGAGTTGGCAGGCCTGAAGGGGTGGGGTTGGATACCGTGTGGACGGTGTGTGAACCCTGGGCGGTGACAGTGGAGAAAGATGTCTTGGGCCCTGCCCCTGAACCAGGAGCCACCATGTTGGTGATACCCCCCGGACTGAGCGAGGAGGAGGAGGCTCTGCAGAAGAAATTCAACAAACTCAAGAAAAAGGTGAGGGAGTGTGGGGGGGCATGCCCCAACCTTTCACAGGCTCTACACCCTTGAGAACACCTTGGGTGAGTGAGGGGATTTGGGAGGGGTGGTTCTTCTAGCTCATACATACCACCTCTCAGTGTAGCTTCAGAGGTGACTTTTTTCAAGTCTTGGTGTATATCTTCTCTCTTTTCTGTACAGTCTTCCATAGGGTGCAGTCTTCCATAGGGTTGTCTCCCATGGCTTTTAGTACCACCTAAGAACTGGTTGTCTCCAAGTTGGTTTTTCTGGTTCCATCCAGTGTCTCACTGATATCCAAAATTAAAGCTATCATCTTCCTAGCTGTTCTAATCTAGTTCCTTTTCTTGATCTTCCAAATAGGACTGACTGCATTCAGTTCTCCCATGTGTTTGGAATCAAAATCTCACCTCTGACTTCTCCACTATTTGCAGAGCCTAATATTTGCCAAGTCTTCTTGATTCTTCCTGTGAAGTAGTTTTTCGCATTTATATTTTCCTGTGTATTCAGTAGATCAAATCTTTGCTGATGGTCACCTAGACTGTTGTAGTGGTCTCTCAACTAATGTCTCAGTGGTATTTTTTTGGACAGACTTATTCACTCCTATTAAAATGATCCATTGAAAACACAAAACTCTGTCCTTCTTTTTCTCAAAACCTGTAAGTGGCTTATGATGTCTGTGGAACAAAACTTTTACTTGGCATCCCTTTCTGATCAGATAGAACTATTCACTAGTCCTGAAATATGCATTCCCAAAGCCTTCTTATCTCTGCATCTTTGCCACTCTGTTTCTTTTGTCTAAAATGCCCTTTCCTCCCAATCTGTAGATTCTACCCAGGGCCCCATTTAATAGCCCGCCACTTGGTATCAGAAAATTTTATTTGCTCTCAGCAGCAAGTAGTCTGCACCTGTTATAGTCATTCTTGACAATTCAGTCTAGTCATTTTATTTCTCAGACTGTAAACTTCTTAAGGGGAGGAACTTCTCATACTTCGTATATCTCTGTTACAAAGTAATGGCATGTCCTCATTAAATATACAGGGGGTGGATGGATGAAGCCTCCAAGAAAGGCTTATACTTACTTTACTTGAAGCTTATATGCTGGGGTTCTGGGCCATGATTGAATTCCTTATCTTCAACTTGAAAAACATGAAACTGTGGAAAGCCTCTGGAGACCAGGGTTTGGCTAGATTAGGTATCCCTGGCACTATAGGTGATCTGGAGGACCATATGCAAGAAGCAGAGCTGCCTCAATGTACCACTCCAGGGGCACCATTTGTATTGTTTCCTCTGAGAAAGGTGTTCCCTTGAGTGATGTGCCCAGAGGGGGCTGAGGCTGCCCCCCACTCACTCATCTCTTCTCACTCTTGTTCCCAGAAAAAGGCATTGCTGGCACTGAAGAAGCAAAGTAGTAGCAATACCGCCAGCCAAGGTGGTGTAAAACGCTGTGAGTAATAGGGGAAATGGGGACAGACTGGAAGTGGGTGGCACGGGCTGATCTGTGTCGCAGACTGGCCAACATAATGCCTCTTTCCCTTGCCACTCCAGCACTGTCAGAGCAGCCTGTAGTGGACACAGCCACAGCAACAGAGCAGGCAAAGCAGCTGGTGAAGTCTGGAGCCATCAGTGCCATCAAGGCCGAGACCAAGAACTCAGGCTTCAAACGTTCTCGAACCCTAGAGGGGAAGTTAAAGGTGAGCACAAGCAGAGAGATTGTTCAGAGGACCCTTGACTTCAAAGGGTATCCTTCCCAAGTTGGAATAGAGGTAGGTTCTGTTCAATAATGGACAAATTGCTATACCATTCTGAGTTCCAGGTTTCTTACTATAGAATGAAGAAACTGGATGACTTCTAAACTCTTCTCCATTTTACACATGCCGCAGCTCTAATCTGTCTGTTAGAGCTCTTGAGCTGTGTTCCTCTGTAGAGTTGAACAGACAGAAAATGTCATCAGGTTCAAGAAATGTTTAAATACTTTTAAGTGTATGCTAGGTCACTTATTTAAAAAACACATAATCAGATAAGAAATGTGCAAAGGAATTAAAAGGAAAAAAAGATAGGCTAGTAGAAGCTGAGAGGAAGAACCCCCTCTGTCCCATGATTATTTAGGCAGCTTCCTGCTCCCACATTGAAGTAGGTCTCTCCCACCTCCCAGGACCCTGAGAAGGGGCCAGTCCCAACTTTCCAGCCGTTCCAGAGGAGCATATCTGCTGACGATGATCTGCAGGAGGTAATGGTTCCCAGTTCTCTGTCCCTGAGGGGCTAGGGATTGAGGAAGATGAGAGACCTACATTTTGGGGGCTACATGCCAGCAACAAGGAATCGTGTTAACTATGTCCTTGGTCTCTTTTTCAGTTATCCAGACGTCCCCAGAGGAAATCTCTGTATGAGAGGTCAGAAAGTTAGAGAGAGGACTGGGTCCCAGCAGGGGAGTGGGGACAGATTGTCTGGATCCTTGGGAGGTTTGGGGTTGGAATGGAAGGAACTGGAGTTGCAGAGGAAGATTGAGTCTGGAAGAGTTTGGGAAGATGAATTAAAAGCCCCCCTTTGATCTTCATTGTTTGCCTCTCCCCAGCTTTGTGTCTTCCAGTGATCGGCTTCGGGAACTGGGGCCAGATGGGGAAGAGGCAGAAGGCCCAGGGGCTGGTGATGGCCCCCCTCGAAACTTTGACTGGGGCTATGAAGAACGTGGTGGTGCCCGATCCTCAGCCTCCCCTCCCAGAAGCCGCAGCCGGGACCGGAGTCATGAGCGGAACCGAGACAGAGACCGAGATTGGGATCGAGACCGAGACAGAGAACGGGACCGGGACCGAGACCGGGAACGGGACAGAGACCGCGATCGAGACCGGGAGCGGGATCGAGACCGAGAGGGCCCTTTCCGCAGTGCGTGATCTTGGCTGGTGGGAAAGTGACTTCAGATGGAGTCTAGGTGGGTCTTTCTAAGGAGGGTGAGGTAGGCTAGATCTGTGATTGTTCTTCCTGATCCCATAGGGTCGGACTCATTCCCTGAACGCAGGGCCCCTCGGAAGGGGAATACTCTCTACGTGTATGGAGAAGACATGACGCCCACCCTTCTCCGTGGGGCCTTCTCTCCCTTTGGAAACATCATTGACCTCTCCATGGACCCACCCAGAAAGTAAGGATGCCAGTGGGGTAAGATGATAAATCCTGGGAGGACCTGGGGGAGGAAGCCCAGGTGGCCTTGTGGCCTATAAACACTGGTATTGGTTGGGTCCAGAAGAGCCCATAACCCCTCTACTGACCCTGTTTTCTCTCATCCCAGCTGTGCCTTCGTCACCTATGAAAAGATGGAGTCAGCAGATCAGGCTGTTGCTGAGGTTGGAACTCCCAGATCTGTTCTTCCCATCCCTCGTGCCATCCTCATGTTTTCTCTTTAAAATAGTTGGAAGCCAGGAGGAAATAGTTTCCTCTTGACAGAGAAGTCTCTCCCTATCCACATAGGAAACCTTATGTTCTCAGATCTTTACTCAGTCTGCTCCTAGGATGGCAACTCCTGGAACTCCTCCTTTGCTTTGTCTGTAATATTCACTCCTCCTCTGTTCCCTCCCCTCTTCTGCTCCAGCTCAATGGGACCCAGGTGGAGTCCATACAGCTCAAGGTCAGCATTGCCCGCAAACAGCCCATGCTGGATGCTGCCACTGGCAAGTCTGTCTGGGGCTCCCTCGGTAAGAACAAGTGTCTTCCTCCCCCAGCCTGTCTCCCACAGTGCACCCCTTCTTTTTGTTCCCCAGCATGTCCCTGGGTTCCCTGGAGGTGACAGAGGTCTGGATTTGTCAGGTCTTCTGTCAGAGGTAGGAGGAGAAGAAAAAGAAAGGATTGAAAATAATTCCCAAGGCAGTAGCTGGACCAGAGAGGAAAAGTCAGGTTGGTGAGGAAGATGAGCATCTCATGTGGCTTTGTGCATTTTGAGATGTAGTTGGTTTCATAAAATAAGTATTGAGGATTTGGAACTCAGGTTTGAGATAGGGAATGGAACCTTGGATCAGTGTCATCTGTATCATAAGGTGGCTGCACAATCAGAGGAAACAATTTGGAGAAAAAGTGACCCAGGACTGGGCTTGGGAACTATTCAGGGACTATATTAGGAGGCAGGGCCTTGTGCCTCACACATCTCAGCCCTCCTGACATGTTAGGCTGAAGTGGACAGTGCAAAAAGAAGACAGAAGGAAGGGTCAGAGGGCTGAGGGGCCCGGGTCATTGAAGCCAAAGGACACATGCTTTGAGAAGGAGGGAATGGTCAGCATGTCAAGATAGCAAAGATCCAAGAACAGGCGGGCTGGTGTATGTGTGGGAATTCACTTGAGCCCCAGAGTGGAAGGGCTGGAATCCCTGCAGATGAGGTGAAGACAGGGACATAGCGGGTATAGGAAGGAAAGAGGATGTGAAGGAACAGCTCAAGGCTCAAGGAAGAATGGTTAGGTACAAAGCTCTGCCAGGAATGAATTCTCCTGGTAGGGTGAGTAGCATTTCTCAGTATGAATAACCCATTTTACCTGAGATAGATTTTCCTGGCAAAGGAGTGGGCAGAAAGAGGGATTCCCAGACAAAAGGAAGGACCCAGAAATGACCAGTATGTCAACAAAGGGCTATAGAGATTTTCTCATTTTTAATTTTTGATGTACTGATTAAAAGTAGTGGGTTAACATCATTCATATGTCTCATGTGAATAACATTTGGGGCGTTTCTAAGAGCAAAATACTCTTAAAGTATCCACATGCACCACTGTGCCAGATACACTGCTTGCCATCCTGATGGGTTGGCAGCCACCACCCTGGGGGACTACAGGGAGACAGGCCATCCCAGCCACCAGAGGGCAGCATGGGAACTGGTTTGCCAAGGGCCAGAGGTCTCGATTGAGCTGTTCTTACCAGGGCTCTCTTTCAGGTCTTAACAAGCCCTTTCCTCCCTCACTAGCTGTCCAGAACAGCCCTAAGGGTTGCCACCGGGACAAGAGGACCCAAATTGTCTACAGTGATGATGTCTACAAGGAAAACCTTGTGGATGGCTTCTAGGGAATGGAGCTGGATTCCTTGTGCCTCATCTGCCCCAACGCTGGTCTCAGTAAAACACTGAGGTGGAAACTCACACATCTCCTTCAGCCTCTGGTTTTTCAGCACTTGGGATTGGGGCGGAGCCTTTAAAAATGGCTGTTGGATTTTTATCTCAGTTGTAACAGCATGGCAGTGCACACTCCCCACTCCCTCACCCCAAAAGGATCTTGAACACAGACATTGTCACAGCTGTTTTAATTTGATCTCATGCCCCTTTCTAACAGGAAACCCATTATAGAAAACCCAGGTCCTCTTCTTGCAGTTTCTCCTTGAGCCAAGGCAGCACTTGGAAAAGATTGATATGAAAGTCTCGGGCGTAAGCAGGCACCTGCTGTAACCGCCTCTGGTCCTTGCAGACATCCACTACACCCCAGCTGATCACACCAACCTAGAGAGAGCCAGGGGTGCCATTGATCATTTGGTAGAATTCCTTCCTAGTCCCAGGAAGCTTGACTGCTCCAGTTGCATCTAAACTGACCTGGAAGAATTAGACTAGGGACCTGGCTCAATGCTATCCTCTTTAGCACACAGGCCAGAAACATGGCCCTAGGCTGGCCACTTCAAGAAATAGTCCTAAGTTCAGCAGGCTCTGCCCTCTGCTTTCCAGCCACATGCATTGAACTTTCCTGCTTTGGGGCTGGTGCTGACTGCTTGGTGTCTCCCTACAGATAGGAGAGGGGAAACTCACTTGAATGAAGCGACTCCTTTTGTGAATAATCAGGGGGCCACCAGAATCACCTACAGGGGAGGAGAAGCTATAAGGAAAAAGACTTGGGTCTCAGGAATGTGAAAAAGCCAGAAAGCTGCTTCTCACCTTTGCAAGTGTTGGGGTCAGCATAGGGATTCACCCCTCCAGTGCAAAGGAACCTAGGGGTGACCACCTCAGAGATGTCCTTGACTTTCCCATAGCCTGGGGCGTGTTGAGCATCTCTTTCACAGCCAGCTTTCTATAGGTGAAGTGGGAAGCATGAAGGAGATAGGGGTGATGAACAAAGCTTGCTTAGGAAGAATGTCACCCTAGAGGACCTCCTTAGGCCTCCACATTCCTCACCTTTTCCCCATTCTTGATGTAGACCTCTTTCCGAACCAGCACCTTCTTATTATCTTTGGGCTCTTCTGACACAAAGAGAGCTTTGATATCCTTTGCTGGAAGCAGCTCTTCCACTGGGCAAATGAACAGACTGGGTCATTTCAGCACTCCCTCCCCTACCATCGCTTCATTGCCTTTGTTGCTCAGCAGATATCCCTTAGTCCCTTCCTGTGAGCTAGGGACTAGGCTGGCCATCCGTCTGCTCCTGCCCACTTGGAATCTCCCCGTGCTGCTCGCCCTGAATATATCTCACTCTGTTGCTGGCAAGTGGTTGTCCGTGGAAGCCTCAAAGCTTGATTTGTTCCCTCAGTGCAGGGCAGGCAGATGGGCCTGTTAGGGAGATTTGGGGAAACTTAGGGATGGCAGACAAGGCCCCCAGTCCTCCAGCCCCACCTTTCTCAGCCTCTTCTCCCTGGGAATCCAGATGGCTCACCTGGTAGTCTGGTCATATTTCAACTTCTTACTGAGCTTGATCAGGGCAACATCATAGTCATAAAATTCAGAGATTCCTTCTGCTTTTTTCTCATTGATGTTGTACTTGGGATGAAACAGAACTTCCTCTATCTCCAAATCCTGCTTCTTTCCCCCTGAGGCAAGAAGAAAGTGGGTATCTCTGGACCACACACTTCTCTGTGGGCAGCCCCCTGCCATCCCTAACTCCCAAGGCCTCATCCCTAACTGGCCCAGTATGCAAGGGAACGAGCTGCCTGGAGAGCCAGTGGACTGTGGCTCTTGAAGTGGTAAGAGTTGCTGGGAGAGTGTGGCTGGAGCTCAGGATTGATTCGCTGGCATCCTTACCCACGCTGACCTTGATCGAGTGTTTCTGGTCCTCCACTGTGAAACAGTGTGCTGCTGTCAGCACGAAGTACTCAGACACCACAGCCCCCATACAGTTTTCATGTCCCTTCGAAGGGCGCTAGGAACAGAACAGCAGAGAGGGAAAGCTCAATTTCCATGAGGCCCACAATCTAAGATTTTGCTCTTCCCCTGCCCCTGTTCCACCCTCACCTCACCTCCCACGAGTCCCCACCACCAGAGCACTATGCTTACAGTGACTGAGATCTTGGCTTGCCATGGTTGCTTGTGGTAATCAGTACCTTTCTTATGCTCCCAAACCATGCCACAGAGACCCAAGGTCCGGGTTTCATCTGGCAAGAAAGGACAATGTGCCAAAGCTGGGGCACTTCATTTCCAAGTGGCAATAACTTTTTGGGGAGGGAGACCTACATGTTGGGACCTGAGGCCTGTAAGTAGGAAAGGAAAGGCAGGGGCACTTGTTTCTCTGCGTTGAGGGCAAGGAACTGTTGGAGCAGTGAAAAGGATTTGGGACTGAGAGATCAGAGACCTGGCTGCCTACAGGCCCAACTTACTAGCTCGCTGTCCCTAGATCTCTTTCAGCATCAATTTCCACATCTGTAAAACAAGGGACAGGGAAAGATCTCTAATGTCGTTCAGAGCTCTGCGATCCTAAGCTCAGGGAGTGGGATGGTGCCAGGAAACAAGAACAGCGTTGCTGAAGTAAAGGAGGAGGAATGAGAAAGGCTCCCAGATGGCCAGGGCTTCAGGAGGAGAGGAATGAGTGACCTTTGGGGGTGTGGGGACAGCTGACTTTTCTGATCATCTTACACCTGATATCTTCCTACCAAGCATTTGGATGAAAACATCCTCCAGGTTTTCCATGTCCTTGACTTTGAACACATGTTGTTCTTTATCCTTCTTGGAAGCCAAAGCATTGATGTTTTCTTGGTTCACCAGAGGCCCGACCCCAAACACATAGACGTCTGAGGGAGAAAAAGGGGAGAGTGAGTGTCCAGGCCCCAAGGGGAAGTTGCTGAGAAAGTGGGGTGTTGGGTCCTGGACAATAAAACTCACCCAGATAATCCTCCCTTGGATTTTTGCGATCCCTCCCAATGTCCAGCAAGTCCCGGATCTCATGAATTACAGAGACTGGGTCCCCGCCCATGTTGTGCAAGCCTGCAGAAGAGACAGGGACTGTGAAGGCAGGAGGCAAGGAAGAGAGATGATCAAGGGAGATAAACTGGCTACAATCAGTGGGTAGGCAGGTTGGGGAGCGGATGAAAGTAACAGATTACAGAGAGCTTTAACAAGTAGAGTTCCTCCTTCTAAAGGGTCACAGGTTAGATCAAGTGTTACACATGACATGTGGCCACATGCTGGTATTGGGGGAGGGAGTCTGGGGCAGGAGAAAGATCCCGTCTGACCATCAGTCATGAGGATGATGACATGGCGGGTACGATTCCAGCCTTCAGGGGGGCTGTCCCCTGCCCAGCTCATCATGCTGTACACTGCTTGGAGGGCCTTCTTGGTATTGGTCCCTGTCTTCAACTTGTGATCTGTGGAAAGGGAAGAGATCATTTCACCTGGTCTCCCAAGCATTCTTGAACCCCAGAGGCCTACCAGCTCCTGAGATCCAACATCTTTTAGCTTTATGACCCCACTGCTCTTTGACCACAAAGTGACCCTCTCAGCCCCCGACAAGTTCCCACTAAACCCCATTCCTTAATGACCTGCTGTCCAACCATGGATTACAGAGTGGTCCTCCCTGCCCTGCACACCCCACCACACCCTAAACCTTCTGACCTCTCTTACGCCAAAGTGAACCTCCCACCAGTCCCTTCCCTGACCTCTGACCTTCATAGCTAATTTGGTTGAGCTTCTCTGTGACCCAGTCTGCATCGCTGCTCTTTTGTTCAGATACTCTGATCAAAACATTGGGGACTGTGGCATATGTCACTAGACCATATTTTGGCTTCACCCCATAACTTGCCACCTGCGGGTGAGGGGAGCAAAGAAGGGGTCATGGCACTGAAAGAACACTATGGCTGGGAAAATTCAGCAGCTTTTCTGGGACAGGAAGGTCATAGTAAGAGACTCAGGGATGACTGGTCACCCTGAGGATCATGGAGGAGTCTAGGTTAAAGGTCAGGAAACTGCTTCAAGTAAAAGGGACAGAATAGGACCTGGAAATTTTCTGGGTCCCTGTGGCTCAGAGAGTCTGGGAGCACTAGTCTTGGTAGGGTAGTTAAGTTCCTTCAGGGTTCCCACACTCAGGAGGAGAGGGTCCCACCTTCTCAATGAAGTCTCTGAGACAGGTATCTCTGGACCACACACTTCTCTGTGGGCAGCCCCCTGCCATCCCTAACTCCCAAGGCCTCATCCCTAACTGGCCCAGTATGCAAGGGAACGAGCTGCCTGGAGAGCCAGTGGACTGTGGCTCTTGAAGTGGTAAGAGTTGCTGGGAGAGTGTGGCTGGAGCTCAGGATTGATTCGCTGGCATCCTTACCCACGCTGACCTTGATCGAGTGTTTCTGGTCCTCCACTGTGAAACAGTGTGCTGCTGTCAGCACGAAGTACTCAGACACCACAGCCCCCATACAGTTTTCATGTCCCTTCGAAGGGCGCTAGGAACAGAACAGCAGAGAGGGAAAGCTCAATTTCCATGAGGCCCACAATCTAAGATTTTGCTCTTCCCCTGCCCCTGTTCCACCCTCACCTCACCTCCCACGAGTCCCCACCACCAGAGCACTATGCTTACAGTGACTGAGATCTTGGCTTGCCATGGTTGCTTGTGGTAATCAGTACCTTTCTTATGCTCCCAAACCATGCCACAGAGACCCAAGGTCCGGGTTTCATCTGGCAAGAAAGGACAATGTGCCAAAGCTGGGGCACTTCATTTCCAAGTGGCAATAACTTTTTGGGGAGGGAGACCTACATGTTGGGACCTGAGGCCTGTAAGTAGGAAAGGAAAGGCAGGGGCACTTGTTTCTCTGCGTTGAGGGCAAGGAACTGTTGGAGCAGTGAAAAGGATTTGGGACTGAGAGATCAGAGACCTGGCTGCCTACAGGCCCAACTTACTAGCTCGCTGTCCCTAGATCTCTTTCAGCATCAATTTCCACATCTGTAAAACAAGGGACAGGGAAAGATCTCTAATGTCGTTCAGAGCTCTGCGATCCTAAGCTCAGGGAGTGGGATGGTGCCAGGAAACAAGAACAGCGTTGCTGAAGTAAAGGAGGAGGAATGAGAAAGGCTCCCAGATGGCCAGGGCTTCAGGAGGAGAGGAATGAGTGACCTTTGGGGGTGTGGGGACAGCTGACTTTTCTGATAATCTTACACCTGATATCTTCCTACCAAGCATTTGGATGAAAACATCCTCCAGGTTTTCCATGTCCTTGACTTTGAACACATGTTGTTCTTTATCCTTCTTGGAAGCCAAAGCATTGATGTTTTCTTGGTTCACCAGAGGCCCGACCCCAAACACATAGACGTCTGAGGGAGAAAAAGGGGAGAGTGAGTGTCCAGGCCCCAAGGGGAAGTTGCTGAGAAAGTGGGGTGTTGGGTCCTGGACAATAAAACTCACCCAGATAATCCTCCCTTGGATTTTTGCGATCCCTTCCAATGTCCAGCAAGTCCCGGATCTCATGAATTACAGAGACTGGGTCCCCGCCCATGTTGTGCAAGCCTGCAGAAGAGACAGGGACTGTGAAGGCAGGAGGCAAGGAAGAGAGATGATCAAGGGAGATAAACTGGCTACAATCAGTGGGTAGGCAGGTTGGGGAGCGGATGAAAGTAACAGATTACAGAGAGCTTTAACAAGTAGAGTTCCTCCTTCTAAAGGGTCACAGGTTAGATCAAGTGTTACACATGACATGTGGCCACATGCTGGTATTGGGGGAGGGAGTCTGGGGCAGGAGAAAGATCCCGTCTGACCATCAGTCATGAGGATGATGACATGGCGGGTACGATTCCAGCCTTCAGGGGGGCTGTCCCCTGCCCAGCTCATCATGCTGTACACTGCTTGGAGGGCCTTCTTGGTATTGGTCCCTGTCTTCAACTTGTGATCTGTGGAAAGGGAAGAGATCATTTCACCTGGTCTCCCAAGCATTCTTGAACCCCAGAGGCCTACCAGCTCCTGAGATCCAACATCTTTTAGCTTTATGACCCCACTGCTCTTTGACCACAAAGTGACCCTCTCAGCCCCCGACAAGTTCCCACTAAACCCCATTCCTTAATGACCTGCTGTCCAACCATGGATTACAGAGTGGTCCTCCCTGCCCTGCACACCCCACCACACCCTAAACCTTCTGACCTCTCTTACGCCAAAGTGAACCTCCCACCAGTCCCTTCCCTGACCTCTGACCTTCATAGCTAATTTGGTTGAGCTTCTCTGTGACCCAGTCTGCATCGCTGCTCTTTTGTTCAGATACTCTGATCAAAACATTGGGGACTGTGGCATATGTCACTAGACCATATTTTGGCTTCACCCCATAACTTGCCACCTGCGGGTGAGGGGAGCAAAGAAGGGGTCATGGCACTGAAAGAACACTATGGCTGGGAAAATTCAGCAGCTTTTCTGGGACAGGAAGGTCATAGTAAGAGACTCAGGGATGACTGGTCACCCTGAGGATCATGGAGGAGTCTAGGTTAAAGGTCAGGAAACTGCTTCAAGTAAAAGGGACAGAATAGGACCTGGAAATTTTCTGGGTCCCTGTGGCTCAGAGAGTCTGGGAGCACTAGTCTTGGTAGGGTAGTTAAGTTCCTTCAGGGTTCCCACACTCAGGAGGAGAGGGTCCCACCTTCTCAATGAAGTCTCTGAGACAATTCTTGGCCCCCGTGAAGTTGCGGGCCCCAATGCTGTCTGATCCATCCAGCACCATGTAGATGTTCATGGAGCCCGAGGGGTCCAGGACAATCTTCCTCTTCTGTTGTTCCCCTAGATGCCACCAGAGAGTCTCAGGCTCCAGCATGCAGGGTTGTCTGACCCCTTCTTCATCCTCCCACAGTTCCCTGCCCTGCCTCCCCTCTCTGCCTTCAAACCTGGGCTGTGCCCATCCTCAGCATCAACTCCTTCTATGGTCTCTGTCAGGGAAGACAGGAAGGCTTCTGCCACCTCTCCAGGAGTGTCGTACATAAAGGAGTCTGGGAGATATCAAAAATCAGGTCACATGTCTGGAAGGATCAGGGACACAGCGATCAGAGAGATGGATGGTGGGTTTCCAGGGTGGGAGGGTCTCAGAAGTGAGAAGAAGGTTTAGAAGTGAGGAAGGATCTGGATTACAGTAAAGGAAGAAGACAGTCCCTGGTGTGGGGACTTGAGAATGGGAGAGCAGGATCTGACCTGAGCGCACAGGTCAAGGGTCACCTTGGCAGGAAGGCTCCGTTCCACTCCAAGAGCCACCTTCTTGGCATGTTCGCTGCTGGGAGCCACGCAGGGTGAGGCCTCGGCTACAGTAGTAGGTGACACGGTCTTCAAGGCGGTACTGGTTGCCCACCTTCCTTGTGCCAATGGGGATGCCTGGGTTGGGGCAGTACCCCGCTGCAAGTGTGAGATATGGAGGTGAGGGTTGAAGCCTGAGGCCCGGTAGGCAAGGCAGAACACCAGAGCTACCATGCCAGTTCCCTGGCTGGAGTGTGGTTAGGGGAGGGTTCCATTGTGGACGGAGGGCACGCTTCTCACCTCCATCATCACAAATGGCCGTTTGCCCATCCCAGCGACCATTCTCTTGACAGGTACGATTGGCAGAGCCCCGGAGAGTATAACCGTCATAACAGTGGAAAGTGATCTCATCACTCAGATTGTAGTAGGGAGCCCGGGGCCAGTACTCCCCATTCTCAAAATCCTGTGGTCTTGGGCAGCGAATTGCTTTGGGGTAGGGGGACAAATACAAATTACTGAGAGGGAAGGGCTGCCCTTTAGGGTGTCCCTCCTGGTCTTAGAGACCCTGTCTCAAGAAACAGTGACTTCCTGGCCCTCCAGGAGCAGGGTCTAACCTCTGGTCATGGAGGGTACCTCAAGCTGTGCAGAGTTCCGCTGCTCCTCCCTCCCTATTTCTGAATGTTCTTTTAACTGCCAGAGCAGCCTGGCACTGGGTAAGCGCTTAGTAAAAGTTAGCTCCCTCTCCTCCTCCCTCCTTCCCCAACCCTAGAGGCTCCTACTCTCACTCAGCCCAACTCATTAGTCTGCTTGGTCTCAACACCACTCTAATCTCACCCTAATCTGGACTTTGGCCACCATCTGCTCTGTCCCTCCGCTGGCCCATGCCCACCCTCACTGCCCTCCAACCTCTGCATTCTGCCTTCTTGACCATCTTTTGGTCTTGGGTCTGCAGGGAGCTCCAGGACCCTGTGGCTCTGCAGGTGCGAGCTTGCACAGGGTATGGGTAGAAGCCAGAGGGACACACGTACTCCAGTGCCTGGCCCTCCTTGAAAAGCCGGAAGGAGCCACCTTTGATCTCTACACCCTCCAGAGAGCAGAGGCCTTGGGGCCCAGCCACAGGCAATGGTGTCGCGCCTACACCTAAGGAGAAAGGCTCGTGAAGACCGGCCTTACAAGGCCAACGAGGGATACTGGGGGCATCAGGATGGGGACAGTGACCCTCGCTTACCTCCAAACAAGAGGCCCAGAACCATGGGTACCAGGCAGAGTCGGGACTTGAGATTGTTCCCCAAGGCGATGGTAGGCAGGAGGGAGGCTGGGGCTGGGGGCCGGATGGCCGACCCAGGCTTGCACTGCATTTCTGCTTGGCTCAGTGTTCAAGCTGAAACTCCAGATCTGGGCCTGGTTGCACCCCCTTCCACTGTCCCCAGCAACCTCCAGCCTTTTATGCAATCTGTGTTCTGGCACCTGCAGCTCACCCACCCTGCCCTACCCACATCACTTTCCGGAATGTCCAAGTGGGAGGGCCCCACTGAGCCACCAGTCAAGGAAATAGAAACTGCACAAGCCCCACCCTTTGCTGCCCATGATCCAGGACTCTCCCCTTCAACACCTCTCAGCTCCAGTTCCTCACCAGCAAGCCCAGACTGCCCCCTTAGGAACCAGAAATAAGCCCTCAGCTCACTGCCCTGTTGACTCTGTTATAGAGCAGAGTCCAGCCACTGTTTGTCCAGCAGGGTCTCTGACCTGCTCTCCTATGGTTCCTGGAACCATTCCTGCCTTTCTCTTCCCCCAGGTCAGCCCCCAGGCAGAGGCACAGACAGATGTGGAAATCTCTGCTTTTTATTAATTTCGTAACTGGGAAATTCCTCTTGAAAAGGAAAGTGAGTTGATAGAGCAGGAGGTGGGCTGGCGCCGGCAGAAGTGCCAGGATTCCGGGATGGGAGGCGCTGCCTCAGGACCCCTGCAGGCTGGGACTTACTCAGGGCTGGGAGTGAGGACGGGCCATGGGTCTGAGGGAGGATGTTCAGAGGTAGGACACCAGAGAGCTGGCAGATCCCGGCAGGACAGCAAAAGGGCCCGTGGCCATGATTAGAGGGGCAAAAAGTTCAGGATGCCCTCCAAGTGCTGCCTCAGCCAGGGCTGCAGGCGGAAGAGGCTGATGTGGAAATCTCGCGGTGGAGGGATCCTGCCATGGGGGGCCTTTTTGCGGGAGTTTTTATTGGTGCTGCCACAGGGATTGTAGAGACCCCAGCTCACCAGGCCCACCTGGGAGAAGCAGAGAATGGGGTGGGAGGTTGCTGCAGACCCAGCTCCAAGCCCCAACCTCCCTGGTTCCTTCAGAGGTCTCCCTGGCTCCCCATGAGGCCAAGATCCTGTAACCCCAGACCTACAAGCCTCTCCCTTCTCTCCTCACCTGAAAAAACCTGTATCTCCGCTCAAGGAAAACTGCTCCTCCTGATTCTCCTGCCAGAAAGAGGGACAAGAGTCTGTCATACTGATTCTCACCCTGACCCCCTGTCACTGGGGCAGCGCACCCATGTCCTGGCACGCATGCTGGCCACAGGGACACAGGCGGCCTTCTCCTTGGGAATCAGGGCCAGGGGCTCACCCTTGCAGGGATTGTCATCTTCCTGCATCCCACTGCATAGGAATTGGTCTGTCACCACCTCTCTGACATCTGACAAATTGAACATGGTTTTGTCTTGGGTGACATCCTTGATACAGTTTGTCCACTGCAGTAGGGGAGGAACAGAATAGTAGAGAAGGATGGAATGAGCAGTCCCAGGGAACACCTGGCAGTCCAGCTTGGCCTGGATGGAGGGGTGGCTCAGGGTTAGACAGAGAAAGCAGGTGGAGCTAGAGAAAGAGAGACCTTCTGGGAGCTGTCACAGGGGAATCCTGTCCCCCACAGGGGGACCTGAGACACTCACCTCTGTCCCTGTCTTGAGGTTAATGTTCAGTCTGCTCCCATTCAAGGCCACAAAATGAGCAGGAACGCTCAGTTTATTCAGAAGTTCGCTCTCTGCAGTCAAGGAGAAGGGGGCATTGATGCGGATCCCTTTACCCAGTGTCCAGACTCCCGACTTGGGGACTACAGCGCATCTCATGATGTCAGCCCTGAGCCCTTTCCCCAGCATCCTGTGCACCCCAAGCCCCGGCACTCACCGTGGTCTCGGCAGTTGCTGCCTGGTGGTCTCCGCAGAGCCAGATTGGCCCCCACCGTGCAGGGAAGGCAGATGGGCCTGGAGAGAAGAACCAGGGTAACACAGGCCCGTCCTCAGGGGCTCCCCCTCAGGGGCTCCCCAGTACACTTTCCTCATCCCAGGGACCCTCCCATCCTAGACTCTGGCACCTAGCGTGGGTGGACATCTTCACTTTCTGGGCCAGCTTCAGCAGGGCAATGTCATCACCGTAGAACTCCAGGATTCCCTGGTGCTTTTTGGCAGAGACATTGAACCCTGAAGAGATCACCACCATCTCAATATGGAAGTCTTTGCCCCACTGTGACTTGGGATCCCCTGGGAACAATATGGCTGATTAGACTGGGCCATGACTCCTGAAAGAGTCAGAGGCTGGGGACAAGGGGTGGAGGTTCAGGCCATGGGGTCAGGAACCTGGTGTGGGCTCTGCCTTACCCACACTGACCCTCCACAGGGAGAGCTCATCAGCTGTGTGGAAGCAGTGAGCAGCTGTCAGGACCCATTGGTCTGAGATGAGGGCCCCCCTGCAGGTCTCCTGGCTCTTGGGCTGCAGGGAAACAGGTGATCTTCAGGGACTTCTGTGTTTCTGGCCCATGGCCTCTTTCAGCTCTGGGATCCAAGCCCCATCCCTCCTTCCTGGTACCTTAATAGTGACATGCCAGGGTGTCCTCTCCTGGGCAGAGGCATTGGCTGACATGTTTCCCACCCCACAGATGGTGTCTATGAGCTGAGAGACATCTGTGGGCATGAGGATCAGACAGAGAGGGAGGCAGGTGAGGGGCACTGTGAGCAGGTTCCCAGCCTGGACCTCCGGCTGCCTCCTCACTGCCCAGCCCACTCCAAAGGGGTGATGCTTGCTCACCCAGCATGTGCTCAAAGACCTGACGCAGAGCCTCTGTGTCCTGCAGAATGAAGGCATGCCTCTCACCATCCTTCTTGGACCCCAGCTCATTCAGTTCTCTCCAGTCCACATCCAGCTTGCCCACCCCAATGGCATAGATGTCTGATGGGGAGGAAGAAATCACCAGAATCTTGTAGCTAAGGGGCTACTATATGAGACAGGAGCTGTCATTTGGAACTCGGTGTCCTACAAAACCCTACGTGAGCTGGACCCCTCCCCTGCCACCTATTTGACCTCATCTTCTACCACCCATTGCCCTTCACTTCCTCCCAACACCTGGCCTCCTAGAAGTTCCTCAAATTTGCAGTCACACTCTTACCTCAGGCCCTTTACACAAGTTGCTCTGTCACCTGGTTCGCCCTTCTCCCAGACTGCCTTACCTTTTTAAGTCTTGACTCAGATGTCACCATCTCAGCAAAGCCTTCCCTGGTCTCCTTTTCTAAACCTGCAATGCCCCAGACATTTCTATTCCCTCCCAGCTTCAGTTTATACCTTAGCACATATCCTTATTTATCTTGTTGAATACCTATCATGGGTAAAATTGTGTCCCCCCAAAAGGATATGTCTAATCCCTGGTACCTGGGAATGTGGTCTTATTTGCAAGTAGGATCTTTGCAGATGTCAACAAGCTAAGATGAGGTTGTACTGGAGTAGGGCCCTAATCTGATGCCTGGCAACCTTATAAGAAGGGAATTTGGATGCAGACACACACAGGCAATAGCGTATCTGACAAGAGATGCACTCAGGCAAGGTGATTTGAAGATAGAGACAGAGATTGGATTATCCTTCTACTAGCTAAGAAATGCCTGGGGCCACCAGCTGAAAGAAGCGATGAAGGGTTCTTCCCAAGAGGCTCCAAGAGGGAGCAGGGCCCTGCTGATAACTTGATTTTGGACTTCTACCCTCCTGAAGATGAGAGAATAAATTTCTGTTGGGTTAGGCCACCCAAGTTTGCATGATTTGTTGTGGCAGCTTTAGGAAACTAATGCCTTGCCCCCTCCAGAATGACATCCCCATGGAAGCATGCATTTTTGCGTGTTTCATTTACAGCTGCATCCTTAGAACCAAGCCTAGCCCAGGAGAGGCCATCAGTAAGTACTCTGACTACATGAATCAAAGGAACTCATGAATGAAGCATGGAGGTAAAACTTCAGATCTGGGCCTCCTCTGAGAAAGGAACCTAGTACCATCTCTTCACCCAGAGAGCCTGGGCCACACAACCATCCATGCCTGGCCTCCCAGCGAATGTGGGTACCATCGGAGCCGACCTGGGCTAGCCACACTGTCCAATCCTATTCCACCCTCTGCACCCCTTGTGGCCCATTTTGGCTTCCAGAGGGCCCTGTACTGTGTGCAAGGGGTGAGATGCTAAGATAGCTTGAGAGAGAAGGCTTCACCAGGAAGCCCCCTAGCCCTGGCCTGAACTGAAGCAGCTACTGTGGGCGCTGGACACTAATGACACCCTGCCTATTTGTTTGACTTTCCCTTCAGTCCTACTTCTTTGAAATAAAGTGTTTCTGTGCACTTAGCCCTGGCCCAGTGATGCTAAGGAGTTAAGTAGTGGAGCTAGGTTTTGTCCTCCTTAGGCTAGAGTTTTAAAGAGAAATGTGCTTGCCTCCAAGGGCAGGTGGGGTGGGATGGCATGAACATAAAAAAGAGGACCTAAAGGAAAAATGAAACCTGGGGGCTCAAAACCCGCTGCAACTCCCTTATTGGAGCACTGCTTTGAAATTATTTTCAGGTCAAAGGTCAGTGTACTTTGCATTTAGTCTGAAACTGAGGAATTGTTCTTTTGGAGGCTGCACCTGCCAAAGCCTTAGTTAGTCACCTGCACTGCTAACAGAGGACAGGCTAGGGGCAGTCCCTACAAGGATAGCAGGCCTTTTCTTTTCTTCCTGGAAAGGATCGAGGAACATAGGATGGTGAATAATGCCAGCAATGATGACGATGGCGGCTGCCAACATATACCGCATTTCTCTGTGCCAGGCAATGGCCCCTATCGGCTTCTCAGGCAGGTCCTGGGACAGTCCCCCTCTTACAAGCAAAGAAATTCCCCAGAGCCCCAGCTGACTGAAGAGGAAACCAAAGTGGAAACATGGGCGGTCTGACTCCAGACTCTTCAGTGTGACACTCAGCTGCCTTTGTAGGTAAATCCAAGTGGCTGGAGCTCTAGCTGCAGACCTCATGCCCCCGCAGGGGCAGCCCAGCTGGGGGCTAGGGGCCAACACTCACCCAAATAGTCATTCCTCTTCTGGTTGATGTTCAAGATCTCTTTGATGTTGTCTACAGCCAGCTTGGGAGAGCCGCCCATGTTGGACTTCCCTAGATGGGAGGGAAAGAATTGTCTGTCTGGGTGGGCATATCAGGATCCCCACAGCCCAGGAGGAGGTGGGAGGCAGTCACCCGGGACCCTCAACGCTTACACTTCCCACATGAGCTTCAAGATGTCTTCTTGACAGAAATTCTCTACATGTCGAGCACTGGGCCAGGAGCTACATGTATATACTTTATCCCATTTAATTCTCATGAAACCCCAAGAAGGGTGAGCGTCCTCATTTTATAGGCAAGAAAAATGAGTTCTAGAGGTTGTTACGTCGTTTGGAAAAACCAAGAGATAAATGACGTAGCAGAGGTTCAGCAAACAGTCACCCTTCCACCCAAGTGCCTTGACATCACTGCTCCTGAGCCAGGGTTCCCATCTAGTTCACTCCTACGTCACCTCCCAGGTGGTTTATCATCACAAACCACTTTTATGCACACTACTTAAATCAATCTCCATGAAAACTGTATAGGGAGGGGAGGGTGGTTATCACTGCATCACTGTTATTGCCATCATCATCATCATCACTATTCCTACTTTATAAATAAGAAACTGAGAGCCAAAGTGGCAGAAGGAGAGCCAGACTGCAGGCCTCGTGACCCCATATTGGTGCCTCTTCCACTATGCCAGACCCTCTCGCAGACCAACAATACTCACCATCTGTCAGAAGGATGATGGCATGTCGGATCTCCTGCCAGGCCACCGTGTTCATACCGAGGCGTTGCATCTGGTTATTCATCATGATATAGACGGTATTTAGGGCCTCATAGGTATTGGTTCCAGTTCCATTTTCATGGTCTGGAATATGCAAGGAAAAAGGACTCTTTTATAAGCTTCCCACATACCACCTAGGAGAAGGGAGTCGCTTTAGTCCACCAACCACTGGAAATGCTTGATCAGCTGGTTCGGCAAACTCAGACCTTTGCTGTTCAGGTAGAGAGTTGGCATCATTGCCTGTTCAAACATTAAAAGCCTTTATCCTTAGAAATGCTCATTGCATAACCCCACTGGAGACCACTCTAGAGTCCCAAGATTCAAATACAGGGTTTCAAAACAACTTGGGCTGTTTTAACCATCTGCTACCTGCCACCCAGTTATGGGGAGATGACAGTATTGAGCCATGAAAACCAGACCGTGTGATTCTGGCCTCAGGAAGAAGGCGACGTCCTACACCATGCATTTGGATGTGCAGCACATTAGAGCAGGCCAGGAGCTGGTGGGAACAGGGCCTCCCAACCATGGGTCTGACTTGGAAGCCACCCCCACCTGAGGAACCAGAGCCCCAGAGCCCTGGGACTTGAATGCCAACAAAAGGCTTCATTCTATCTCTAACTTGTCCAGGATCTGTCTGCCAGCACAGAGAGCTCATCACCACCACCAGCACCCACCTTCCCATCACCTTCATTTGATGACACCCATACCTTTATAGCTGGCATTATCCAGACTGCTGACCACTTCAGTCACATCCCGGGAGTTGTCGTTCAGGACAGACATGATGACTTTGGGCTTTGATGCAAAGGTGATGATGGCGACACTAACATTGATCTCAAAGCTGAAGACCTGTGAAGGGCAAGTGAGAGGTGATGTAAGGGGTCCTAAAACCCAAGAGGAGAGGGTATGAGAGCAAAGGGCCCTGGAGGAGGCAGACAGCCTGGACTGAGACTGGAAGAGACCAGGTCCGTGGGTCAAGTCACTTTCTAAGAAACTGCTACTTGGAGGACGCTAGGAAACTGAAATTTGTCGACCATCTACTCTCTTTGATAAAAGTTGACTCCTCATTTAATCCTCACATCAGCTCCATAAGGGGTCACGATGGTCCCTGTTGCAGAGATAGGAAAACTGAGCCCTGTTAGCTTACTCCAGATCACACCCCCAGGCAGAGATGGAGGCAGAATTTGAATGTGTCAGCACCACTCTGAAGCACTTCTGTCACTGTCGCATTTTGCCACCTCCTGGCTTAGGGACTTACTTAACTTTAAGTCTTAAGATCTAAGGAACGTGAAAACTGCGGTCTTTAAAATGGAGCCAGGAGAAAAATCATGTATCTCCACAAACGATTGTGAGAAGCATAATTACCAAGCAATGTGCTGGCAAGAACTCTAAATCAGTGGCTTCCAAACTCTTCTGTGTGTGCATGTGGTCAATAAAACATTTTGAGCACATACCCCAACACAGGTATACATAAAAACAATTGTATTTATAACATGCATTGCTATTCAAGTATACACATTTTTAAATATACACAGAATGTTGAAATCTAAAAGGAAATCATTAAATACTAATTTCCTAATTTAATTTAAATTAAAAATATTCAACAAGGATACCAGTATTTTTCTGCCCTAATCCTATGGATTATTTTGTGTATCCCTCTATGGAGACCACTGTTCTAGATGATGAATTCCTGGAAAGCGGGCCCTCACCCTTGCTCATCTTTGGTATCCCCCAGCGCCTAGTACCAGCAGAGTGCCTGACACACTGCAGGTGCCCCAACAGCATTTATGGAAGGAAAATTAGTATCCTATAACTGAATCCATGATGCCTGTGTGGCATGTGTATGATCTGGGCAGACTTCTTGGAGGAGATGGGCTGTGAGTAGGATTCTGATGAGGGGAAGGGGACAAGGAGAAACAGCAGGTGCAGGAAGGCCTCTTTGATGTGCAGGCTCCCATTTCCTGACCCTGTCCACCATGATGGAGGCACTCTGCTTGAAGATGTGAAAATCAGTTTCTGCGACACTCTGAGAGGCATCCAGGAGCAGGTACAGGTTCAGGTGACCCGAGCGCTGGATTTGGATTTTGCGGCCCAAGTTTTCTGGGAGAAATGTGGAAGGGGAAGTTTCAGGTATCCACCTCCTATCTGCTCTCTTGCCAAGGGCGCCAGGCCTCCCTGCCCCCCTCTCTCCAGTGTAGCCCCCCGAAGCCTACCGAGGCTCCCGACCTCTGGGGAACCTGCCCCTCTCCTGCTCTGGCCCAGGCCCAGGACCACCCCACTGCCCCCACCTCAAGCACTCACCCTTTTTCTTCTGGGTGGGATTTGTGGCTCCAAGCAGGTGGGACAAGGAGGTGCCCAGGGCAGGGGCCACATCCTCAGGGAAGTCATAAGAGTAAGGCTCTGGGGAAAGAGCCACTGGGGTCAGCCAGGGCCAGAGGTTGGGGCATGCAGGAGTCTCAGGAGGGTCAGGGAAGCTACTCACGGCGGCAGATGGGCTCCGTCCCACTCCAGACCCCATTGCCCTGGCACTCCCGCTCTGCAGACCCTGTCAGAACCAAATTCGAGGAGCAGCGGTAGCTGACCTTGTCCCCAAGGCCAAAGCGGGACCCTGTCCGCACAGAGCCCAGTGGGATTCCTGGACTGGGGCAGTGGCCAGCTGTGAGCAAACAAAGGAAGACGGAGGTGAGCAGAGACCTGCCTCCCCAGCCTCTGGCCCTGCTCCCCCTCCCCCTCCCTCCAGGCTCTCCCTCCTCTCCAGACCCTCAGAGTGGCTGTGGGTCCTTCAGCCTCCCCCTTAGGAGACACCATAACTGTGTTTCCCAGGAGTGTGGAAGGAAACCCTTAAATAGGGTAAAATGTTTAGAACTCAGTGGCCTCAGAAGCCAGCTAGAGAAGCCCATTCCCAGCCCAGGAACTCAGCCTGCATACATTCCAGAGCCCCAGGCAAGATGTTGGCTGAAGAGGCCTTGCCTCCACAGAGAATATGTGTAATTCATAAACCATAGTGAGACATCATTACACACCCACCAGAATGGCTAAAACTGAAAAGATGGATAATTCCAAGTGTTGAAGAGGATGTGTGGCAACCAGAACTCTGTTGCTAGAATGTCAATCAGGAAACTTTGCCAGCCTCTACTAAAAGAAACCATGTGCCAACCTAAGACCCAATAATTCCACTCCTAGATTATATGCTCAACAGAAACAAGTGCATATGTGCACCAAAAATCATATACAAGGATGTTCATAGAGATTTACTCACAATAACCCAAAATTGAGAATGCATAAATAAATTTAATATATTCACATGATGGAATTACACATGTGAATAATTATTATTATTATTAAAAATAATAATAATAATAACAAACTGCTGATACACAGGACAACATGGATAAATCTCATAAGCAGAATGTTGAATAGGGAAGCCAGATGCAAAAGAGCATGGTCTGTATGATTCCATTTGTATGAGGCGTTAAGAACAAGCTAAACTAATCTGTGGGACCGAAATGAGGAGTGTAGTTAGTTACTTGGGGAGGGACGGGAGAGAGCTTCCTGTGATGTTGGACGTGCTCTCTGTCTTGGCTGGTGATTACATGGGGGCGTACACGTGTAAAAGTTCATCAAGCTGAACGCTTAAGATTTGCACACATTACCATAGGCAGATTATACCTCAATTTTCCAATAAATTACATTTATGTCTGCATAAACGGATATTTGGCAAAGAATCAAGGACACTAGCACAGAACCAGTGGCTGGGCTGCTAGGTGAGGGCGAGGTTCTGCCGTCCTGGGGACTCTTCATCCTCTGTGTTATGTACTCAGAACCATGGTCCACGAAGTTCCCAAAACCCACAGACAAATAGGGGAGTGGCTCTGGGGAATCCTGGGAGCCCCACTTCTGTCAAGCAGAGACCCTCACTATTCACAGGTGCAGCAATAACCATGACAATAGTAAATGTGGCATTCAGTAGATGCCAGGGACTGTTCTAGATGCTTAAGAATATAAACTTACTTAACCCACACAGTAACCCCATGCTGTCAGCACTCTTGCTATCACCATTTTGCAGATGGGAAAACTGAGGCTTAGAAGTTAAATAACCTGCTCAAAGGCTCTCAAAAGTCAGAGCCAGACTTGGACCCCAAACTGGCTCCAGAGGCAAAGCACTTAAGCAAAACATTTGATTCTCTCCCAGCATATAATCCCTGTAATAGTCCAGGGGGAGCCAAACACCAATCTTGCTTTGAGGCATTTGGGAAAGCTGGACAGAGCATGTAGAGGCTTTATGTTGGATCTGCAGCTTAGCACCAACTGCCCCAGGCTACCTGCAAGCAGGTGATGTTTGACCTGTAGATCTCAATCTACCAAAATCTAGGAATATTATTTTGGCACCAGAAACACCAGGCCTCTACCCCCATAGAAAATCCCCCTGAGCACACATCTGGCCCCTGGGTTCCCAGGAGACCCAGGCACTTTGTAGCCATCTGTTGGTCACTCACCACCGTTGTCGCACACGGCTGTCTCCCCATCCCACACGCCGTTAGGACGACATTGCCGTACAGGTGAGCCCCGCAGGATGAAGCCATCCTCACACTCAAAGCTCAGGTTGCCGCCCACAGGGTGGGACCCCAGCCGTGGGGTGTACATGCCGTTCTCAAAGGAAACTGGGGCAGGACAGCGAACAGCTGGAGCGAGAGAAGGGAATGAGGATAGAGGGATGGAGAGATAACACCTGGGCTGGGCATCAAGTGGTGATGTTCAGCCTGAATGCAAGGGAACAGCCAACCTGTTGTCAAAATATTAAGTTGATGCATGTGAAATGTATCAATTGGTTAAACATTGGCAATTTCACACAGTTCAACCTAATAGATTGATAAATAGCCACTTCTCTCAGCCCCCTGAGGGCCATGGCCACCCCAGCCCCTCCCCTTGGATCCTGGATGTCCCACAAGTGGGTAACTAAAGGAGTAATGCCTGGCACAACAGGGGACCCTGGGACCATTCAGCATCCATTGTGAATGGTCAGTATTGTGCAGCCAGTTGTTAAGTATTTCAAAAATTGTCCCTGGCTTTGGTACCTCACCATCTCCGTCACAGCCTACTTCACATGCCTCACTATGGGCAACTGATATGTTCTCACTATTTTGAAAAGCCCTTTGGAAAAGTGGCTTTGCCATCCCTGCCACACCATCTAGTCAGGTTCAGCCCCACCCAGACCAACTCCTAAATCAAAGTTCTGGGGTTGCCACTGGCAGGGCAAGGGCACCAATCCAGGCCCACAAGCAGCCTCACATTTGCAGACCGCCTTTGTCAGCCGGGTGGACCTCAGGGTCTGCCACTGCCCATTGCTCTTGCACAGCCGTGATGCCGGGAAAGGGTAGTAGCCCAGGGGGCAGGAGTAGGTGAGGATACTCCCAGGGGCCCAGCCATGGCTGAGCATGAAAGTGCCACCGCCGGAAATATTCACGTTCTGAGGGCATGAGGGAGTGGCTGCAGCCAAGCCTGTGGGCATGGGGACAGAATACAGAAATGGAAAAAAGAAGGAAGGCACGGATGAGAAAAGGAAAGCAGAAGACTGTCCCTTTCACACGTGGGAACTCAACCTGGGTAGTCCCAGCCTGGCCCACAGAATCCTGACATCCCCCTCCCCTGCTCCTACCTGGGCACAGGGGCAGCAGGCAAAGGAGTGCCATCAGTAGGTCCATGGTGTCCACAGCAGGGGCAGAGAGAGGCAGAGAATTGGGACAGGGAGAGGTCATCTGACTTCCCGAAACCCAGGGCTGGCTCAGCAGCTGTTTCATTTGCTGCCAGAGGAGAGCAACTAGGGAGTGGCAAGAGGGACGTTCTGTGGTTAGGAAAAAGATCACCAGGGAGTGGGGACTGAGCCGAGGGGCTGAAACCTTTACCCTGTCTCCCTAATCCCAATATTTCCAGAGTCAGTTGATGTCCACCATGGGCTCGGCTCCCCGCTCCCAGAACCCCCCCAGCCCCGCCTCACACACATGCATGCACACACTCTTTCAGGAATAGTCTGAAGCACACAAACCCACAAGCCATCCAAGATATTGCAAAACCATTTATTTAAGTAAAGTTTCTATTTTCTTTTGGGTTTTTCCAAGTGGATTTTAATTCCTTAGAGCCTGGCATTGTATTGTCTCTTTAAACATTAACCTCCAAGAGATTGAGACCTATTTTCTTAGAAATTCTTGATACACAGAAAAGATTCACAATCTTTTTCTTCTCCACAGCCCTGCCCCAGAGAGAACTAGGAATAAACACAAAATCAACACTTAGTTTTGGAGACTGGAAAAACATTTAGAAACTTTTTATGGGAATTCTAGTAGATAAAATTCCCAATTTATAAAATAAAGAAGTCTGGGGTTGGTTACCCAAAGTAATAAAAGTATTTTTGGATTTGGGATGTGCCTTTATATTATAACCTGCATTTGTATGAAATGCAGGAAGCAAAGAAACTCTGAGCTAATATGTTAGCCTCCCCGTCCCACAGAAGTCTCTTTAATATTTTGTCAAACAATGTGGAGTATAAATAAATAAGATCAATCAAAAAATAGGATGAAATATGCTGATGTCAGACCAGCCCTGCCCACCTACTAGGACTGTTACAAGAGAAATAAGCCACTTTCAAGTTTGACTGTTCAAGTTTGTGAAAATGTTTTTGATTGGCGAATAACTTCTCAGAAGCATACATACATAAAGTGGGGTTCACCTTGGACAGAACTAACCAAATGCAGGAAGACAGTGATGCCTGGGTGCTGGGGGTCTTAAAACTACTGCTGTGGCTGGGCTGCTGGTAACCCCACACCCCAGTATTTGTTCTCTGAGATGTTTAGGAGGACACACAGTCACTCAGCTAAAGACTTTATCTCCCAGTTTCCCTTGCTGCTAGGTGACCAAGTGACATGTTTCTGGCCAATAGGATGTGAGTAGAACTGATGTAGCTTTCGGGTTATAAATAAAGGGAGTGTGTCCTCCCTTTCCCATGAGCTGGTATATAGACCTGATGGAAACTTGACAGCAACATCCTGAGGATGACAGAGCAAACACACAGAGAAGCCTGAGTCCCCAGCACAGTGCTGATGTCAGACCAGCCCTGCTCACCCTCTAGGACTGTTACAAGAGAAATAAGCCAACTTCAAGTGCTGGGTATTAGAGATGATCACAAATATTCTGGTTTTGTCTCCTTCCAGTCACAAAGTAGGATAGAACTTCCCCATCCACTTGCTCTGGCCAATAAAAAGTAAGATAACATATACCACTTCCAGGTGAAGCGTTATAGGCCAAGGCAGTCTTCACCATGCTCTTCCCCTTCGTATAGCCACACTAGAGATGCTGGCTGCTACATCAGCCCAGATTCCTGGGCAACACCAAGAGTAGAACCCGTGCTGACCCTCAGCAGATTTGTAATGTAAGCAAAAAATAAACCTTTGTTGTTCTAATCCACTGTATTACCACAGCTGCAGGAAAAAAGGAAAAAAAAAAAAAAGCAATAATACCACCCAAAATGTAGGGGCTTAAAAAACGATTTATTCTTTCTCATGATTCTGCGGATTGGCCAGGTGATCCTCGTGCCAGTCTTGCATGGCCTCACTCATTAGGCTGCAGTCAGCTGAAGGCTGAGTTCAGGGGGATAATGGGACAGCTGGAGCTCCCTGCCCCGTGCTTTGTCCCTGGCCCCTCAGGGCATGGCCCTCTCAGGACAGCATTCTCTGAGACCCAAAGCATAAGCTGCCAGATCTCTCGAGGCCTGTCTTCAGAGTCACTTAACATCACTTCCATCATGTTCTGTTGGCAACAGCAGATCACAAGGCCAGCCCAGACTTATGTATGAGGGAAACTTGACCTCATGATGGAGGAGTGGCAAGGTCACATCGCAAGAAGGCACGCACACCAGAATAGGAGAGCTGTCTGGCCATATTTGCAAACCACTATGGCAACCGAGACTTGGAGGTTGTTTGTTACCAGGACATAACGAATCCTCACCTGAGTGAATACTTAAACTGTGGAATTTGGGGTGTCCTCTTTAAGCTGCTGCTAATAGACTGAATTGCATCACTGCAAAATCCATATATTGAAGCCCTAATCCCCAATGTGACTGTATTTGGAGATGATAGGACCTATAATGAGGCACTATTTATACTCAAATCCACGTCTCAAGGGCTGCTTCTAGGGGAAGACCTCATATTAACAGGAAGTACTATGTGCCAGACACTTTTCTAAACACTTTACATGTAGGAGCTCACTTAATCCTCACAATAAGCCTATGACACATGTATTATCATTACCCCCACTTTACAGATGAGGAAACTGAAGAACAGAAATTTTAAATGACCTGCCCCCAGAATCACACAGGTACTGGCAGAGCTGGGATTCAAACCCAGGCAGCATGACATCTGAGTCTACACTGTAGCCCCCAGGCTGTAGTGACTTCCTAACATCTCTGACGTGCTCTGCGGAGCCTCCGGAACTTCCCTCCAGTCCCAGTTCCAGCCTGTCACCCATGCCCTCTACCCCAGGCACTGCCTCTTGCTATTCCTTCCTATGCAGCCTTCTGCCTTCTTCTCCAACCCCTCATCCTCCGGGAAGCTCTGTCTCCCATTCCTGAAGGACCTGTCCACAGGATGCACTGCCTTCTAGTTATTCGTGTGCTTATCTCAGCTTCCCCAGAGGAAGGACTGAAACAGTAAGTTCCATGAGGAAGGTCAGGCTCATGGTTATACCAGACTCAAGAGTGTGCCCCCACAGAAGCCCCTCCCCAGGCCTGTTCTCACTCCAAGTAAACAGCGTCCTTCAGATCAGCAACAAAAGCGTCTTTGGTTTCTTTTTCTTCCATTTATTTTTTAATAAAAATATTTACATTGAGTCAGACCCACCTACTTCCTCTAAGAAGTGACTGCCAGTGCACTAGGTCCATCGCCACCCCCATTCCACATGCAGTCACCTACCTGTGTTGAACCAACTGCCCAACAATAACCTTGAGAAACCTCTACAGAAATCACCCTGAAGGCCTCAGAAAAGAGTTGTGCCCATCCTCTGGCCCCTCCCTACTCCACAGGCTCCTCCAGGACCCTGGGTCCCAGAGGCCACCCTGCAGGCACAGACTCTGAGTGGGGACACTGAAGCTCCTCTCTTCCCCCATGCATTGCACAAACAATTCCTGAGATTCAACAGGCATCAAGGGTGGAGTGGGTACCTCCCAAGAAACAGAAGGCCTGTCCCTGACTTCCTACAAAGAGCTACATCTCTTTCAGATGGAAACTCAGCCCCTGGGATCAGCCAGGCCAGGGTGTGCCATGTGTCCTGGGGGTACAAATGTGTCTGTCTGCTCATACCAGAGCCCCCACCTCACCTTGTTCATCTCATCCCCCTGGGGTCTCCCAGCCCTGGGGAGCCAGTGGTGCATGTAATCCTCCCTCCCCAGCTGCTTGCCATGGATCAAAGAAGAAATTACAGTGGAAATTAGAAAACAGTTGAAGACAAAATGAAAATGAAAACACCACATACCAAACTTATGGGATGCTGCAAAAGCGATGTTAAGAGGGAAATTTACAACTGTAAACGTGTACATTAAAAAACAAGAAAGGTTTCAAATCAACATCCTAACTTTACAACTTAAAGAACTGGAAGAAGAACTAGACCCAATGCTAATCCAGAAGGAAGTAATAAAGATCCGAGTAGAGATAAAAGAAATAGGGACTAGAAAAACAATCGAGAGATATCAGAGAAACCAAAGGTTGGTTCTGTGAACATATCAACAAAATTGGCAAACCTTAAGCTAGATGGACTAAGAGAACAAAAAGAGAGAGAAGGCTCAAATTACAAATGGACCATGTAGCAGGTGATTTATGGATTATGGTTGATTTTATTAGGTGTGATTATGGTATGAAGTGTACAAACAGAAGTATTTACAGATGAACTTATATGATTTCTGAAAAAGGCATTTGTTTTAAAATTTTCTGGTGGCACGGGGTCCAGATTAAATTAGGGTAGCAAAACTACTGAAAATTGTTGACATTGTGTAATCCATACATGTGAGTTCTGTATGCAATGCTCACAACTTTTGTGCATGTTTGAAAGTTTCCATAAAAAAGTTTAAAAATAGTATATTTTAACCCTCTTTGACCATTAAGTGACTCAGATCAAACAAACAAGTAAAAACATTGGACAAGACATCAAGATGCTGGCACACAATAGACATTGTCAAAAATATTGACAAGCAGCAGCCATGGCTCTGCACTACCCCATGGCCTGGGCCTCAGCAAGGGCCACAAGGTGACCAAGAATGTGTGCAAGCCAGGGCACAGCTGCCACCGCAGCTATGTTCATGCAGGCCGTGATCCGAGAAGTGCATGCAGCTTCACCCTATATGAGCAGTGTGTGCCACAGAGCTACTCGAGGTCTCCAGGGACAAGCAAACCCTCAAACTCATCCCAAAAAAGGGTGGGAACCCACTTCCATGCCAAGAGGAAGAGAGAGAAGCTGAACAGCACCCTGGCAGCCAAGGACTGAAGCCCCACCCTCTGTGTAGAGCAAAACCTTTACAGAGAAACAAACAAAATTGAATGCATAAGTGATAAAACTCAGGGAACATAAGTACTGAATCATCTTGCAAGTTACATCTACCACTTAAATTAATAAAAGAGCCACTTTTGCATTCATCTTTTTAGTGTTTTATTAGCATGAGTCAGTTCTTTGGGGCCCAGTCATTTCTGTATTTTTAAAATCTCATTTCTGAGTTCATATAGCCAAGAGCAAGACTTTTTGAAAAATGGCCACATAAAGGTAAAGCCACTCTTTGGAGTCACCTGTCATCCTTCCCCAAGTGACATGCTGTTATGGTTTTATAAATTGCTATAAAGCCTACCTTGTAAGGTGGCTGTACTAAATGGGGGTAAGGCACCCAAATTAACACCTAGTACTGACAGGTAGCATTTCACCAGGAGCAGCCACTCCCAGCCCCCTGCATCTCCCCACCTACTTCTGGTCTAGCTGTGGCTGCAGTGGGTGGTTCTTGGGCATTCAGACTCACCTTGTACCCAGTCACACTGACTGGGCCTTCTCCAGAGCCTCGGTGCCCAGTGGGCAAGCACAAGTAGGGAAGGCCCCAGAGTCGACCTGCAGCCAATCAGAGAATGCAAGTTGGTGGGTAGATGCTCCTGCCTCCTGTCCTTCAGGTGGACTCCTTCTGGAGACATTCGGTTTCTCTCCTCAGGAAGTTCCAGCAGAATTGAAAACCCATCACACACACACTTCTGAGTTGGGCTTTCCTCCTTCATGATCTCCCACTCCCTCACCTCTGCTTTCTGGAATCACCTGAGTTACCTGCCTTTACCTATATCCCAGGGACACTCAACTCCAATAGTCCCTCTCCCACCCTTCTCTCCCAAAATCCATGGCTCCTCTATCATGGACTCTCGCCCACCAACACCCCAGTCACACCTAGACTGTAACATCAACACACAGATGTATAATTCATCAATTTACTGATCTGTCCACATTCCTGCAGCACAAACTGCTCGAGGACAGGGACCCTCCTGTGACATGTTTGGGATCCCCCAGTGTCCAGTGGGGTAGAGATGTAAGTCAGTCAGCACTGCAGTAGTCACTGAAGCGGTTCACCAATTTTCCCATTTCCTACCCTCCAGGAACATGGTGGGATGAAATTTCTCAGTGCTATGGAAGTTAGGCATAACCACATGACTTACTTTCACCAGTGAAATGTGAGCACAAGCTAACGTGTTGTGTTTTTCCAGGGAGAAGTGCTAATTGCCAATGCAGCTAAAGACTCTGCAACCCCCTCTTTGATTGGGGCCTCCTTTAACTTGGGTCGCAGAGTGACTACGATCAGGGTGCCCCCACACCACTCCACTGACCCAGCAGGTAGGCTCAATGAGAAATGAAACTGATGTGTTAAGCTACTGAGATAGCAGGCTTGTTGTTACTGCAGCATTACTTAGCCATGCTGACTGACACCAGCTGAGATAGGAACTGCATATTAAATTCACAGAGACACAGAGATGGGGAAATCAGGTCTCACCAGAGGCTCAGAAAAGCTTTACAGAAGAGCTGGAGATAAGCCTTCAAAGGTGAGTGTTCAACTACCCAACGAGTAAGAGAGAGGGCAATCCAGGCAAAGCAATACACATGAGCAGAGGCTTGGGGTCAGGAACCCCAGAGACTTTAAGGGAACTGCAAGTAGTTGGGGAAGTTTTAGGATGGAAGAGGGAACAGGAGGCCACAGAGAGACAGGACATGGAGGAGAGTGTGCCCTACTCAGGAGCCAGGGTCGCTAGCTTGTAAGGCAGTTACAGTTGAGCTTGAACAACACAGGGGTTCCAGCACCAACTCCCCCACTGCCACCATCAGGCAGTGGAAAATCTGCCTGTAACTTTGGACTCCTCAAAAACTTAACTACTAATGGCCTACTACTGACTTGAGCCTTACCAGTAACACAAACAGTCAACAAACACCTATTTTGCATGTTATATGTATTATATATTGTATCTTACAGTAACGTAAGCTAGAGAAAAAAAAATGTTTTCAAAACTGTCACAAATCTCAAAAAAATTTTCCATC